ATTCTAGTAAAGCAGACCCATTACTTTCTGTAATTATTTTATTTTGCTGAAGTGATTTTATTAATAAGTCGAAATTAATATGTGTTATACACATGCAAGTGTTTCTATCAGACATTTTTGGGTAAACTACCCAAAAAGGACGATTTCTGCAAAAAGTTGCATAACTAATCTCATAGGCATGCGTATCGTTAAATTTTTTATGTAGATTAATCATGGTGTCTGAAAGGTAACGTTTTTGTTTTGTGATTCTGTTTCGTTTCATGTATTCTTTTTTGTCAGCTGACAATTGACTACTACCGTCGTCTTCGAAAAAGTCTTCTATTTCTTGTTTTATATCTATTTTCATTGTTTTATCAACTTCTTTCTTGTTTCTTATTGTAAAAGATTTTGCTTTAGTGAGTAGTTTGTGTTTTTTTAAACTATCCTTGTTTTGTAAAATTGTGTCACTAAAATGACGTTTATCCTTTTTGTTTAATATTTTATACCCTTCTTTAAGTTGTTTAGTTATACACTCTCCAAACAATAACTTCTTTTTCACCTCTGCCTTTTTAACTGGATCTATATTTTCGATCAAACTTTCAATTTTCTGTTCTGTTGATGGATTCTTTAATTTCCTTGTTGATCTTTGCAACAGCTTTTTGATCGCTCCTTTTTCATTTTTTTCTTTTTCCAGTTCTTTTTTTAATAAGCTAACCCGTTTACTAAAGATGTAGCGAAGTCGCCTTAACTGACTTTCTTTTTTTGCACAATTGTCACATTTTTTCTTTTTTTTTAATTTTATTTGTATCTATTTCTAATGTAGATGGCCCTTCTAAAGGATCATTTTCACAATTCTTAGAAAATGATCTTTGTTTCAAGGAATCCACTACTTCTTCTTCATCACTAGTTGGTGGAGAATTCTCAATAAGCATTTGCACTATGGTTTTTTCTTTATTTTTCTTCTCTACATAGCGTTGTCGATTTTCGCGCCATTTTCTTCTTTGCTGTCTTTGTTGCCGCGGTTTCAAATCCTTAATACTTCTTAGTTTATTTTGTTCTTTACGTTTTAAATACCTTAGTCTTTCCTTTTCTTTAAAAGCTGCATACCTCTCAGGGTCTTTTTTAATTTCTTCATGTTTTTGTTTCTTATGAAGCCTAGCCTGTGCCAGCTTTTCCTCACGAGTTTTCTTATTTTTTACTTTGCCCATTTTTACAGATATCTGAAACACAATTAAAAAAATTGTTGTTAAAGAAAACTACTTTCACAAAAATGATTTTTGCGAAAGTAAGCTAGTTTTCTTTGATAACGGATTGGGACTTTCGCAGACTAACGCCTGGTGCATTACCGGCTAACTCGCCCGTGTTCGTTTTCCTGTCAAATTTAATTGATATGACAATTTCTTTGTTGCTTTTGTAAGGATCTAGTGACTTCTTTCTCTATAAATTTTACATCAACCAAATTTGACAGCAAGACAATTACGAGCGAGTTAGCTGGTAGCCCCCTGGATTGTATCAATTAATAAAATTTATTTTGGCAGTACAATACAGTTTAATAATATGACCACTGGTTTAACATCTATACAGATGTCATGCGTTTATTTTGTGTATCCATTTTATATTAGGCTAGGTTTTTTCTACTGTATGTTATTGTCTGTATATATAAGCAATAAATAATCAATAAATACAATTATGTATGTTTTTAAATAATAAACCAGCATATGTATGTATATTTATTTCTATGACTAATATACACAAACTAAATTTGAACTTTAATTTTAAACTTATAAATCATACTTCAAAGTTTCAATTATTTGGGTTATTGAGACTTTTTAAGAAATCAATTGATTATGTTTTTACGGGTAGATTAAGATAAATTTTACAATTAAAGGTAATGACCTCAAAATGAAGGAAGTGTTTAAAATTTAATCATTACCTTCAACTTAAGATCATTACCTTAAGTTAAAAAGCTGAAGGTAAATGCTGGTAATGATACTGAAGGTAATTATCTTTTAGCGCAGAAAAGTTTATATGAGCGTATTTATTAGTACAATATTTACAACGTGCATAAATATAGTTTTGAAATCCCTAAAGCCTTTGCTATTTAGAAGAATATATGAAAAAAGCATATCACTTACATCAAAAAGTCGATGGTGGTAAAGATACAATCTTCGTGACAAACGACAAAATCAGACACAAACACTTTTGTATTTTTTTTTTGCGGAGCGCGCGTGTTCTTCTTACGGTGCCGTAACGTCCACTAACGACACCCGAGCACGAGCATGCGGGGAGGGGCGGTATACGATGTGACCATGTAGGAAATTTCGTCGTTTCAATTTCTGCTGAAGGTAATGATGAATTTTAGATGACAAAGCTTTAATATTTTTTTTCTACTTACTTATAAAGTTTGTATTTGCGAAAATACGAATAACGTTTCCTGAAAGTCACTATAATAATATGTACATTTCAAAAGTTTGTAGAACAAATATTTCTCCAAGATTTAAACGGTGCTTCTACACAAAGTATGTTTAGGACACTGAGGGTAGTGATTTTTTTAAATATAAATATGGTTTTTCTTAAAAACCCTTCAACTTAGTAAATCATTATTCAAGCACACATGTAGCTTATTATTTCATATTTCTGTTAAAAATAATACACAACTTTAAGGTACCATATATATTTTTTTATAACAAAGGATACAGAATGTGCACAAAATTTGATAATCACCCATATTCATAAACTACGTAGGCGGGATGATAAATAGCTAGCCCAACCCATATTTTGTATTATAGCGATATAAAATCTCTTTAGTATTTTACTCATTGGTATATTAGCTGCCAGTGTTCCAAATTTCAAATCGATCGTATGGTTTTTCTTTTAAATATTGACATTTCAAAAAACATTCTTTTGTTTTTTCTGCAAAATGGATAAAATTGAGCTACGAGCTGTGATAAATTTTTTTCGGAGATGAAGGATGTTTTGGGTGAAAATGCTCCTTCATATGCGCCCATAGAAAATTGGGTGGCTGAATTTAAACGTGGCCGTAACAGCACCCAAGATGAACATCGTCCAGGACGTCCAAAAAGTGCCACTACTCCAGAAATTGTGATCAAAATTCATGATGCAGTTTTAGCTGACCGAAGATTGAAACTTTCCGACATAGCTGATACTGTAGGCATCTCTAAAGAACGGGTGCATTACATTTTGACTCAAGAATTATGTATGAAAAAATTATCCGTACGGTGGGTGCCGCGATTGCTTACAGTTGACCAAAAACGCGTTCGTATGCAAATTTCACAAAAATGTTTGGACCGCTTTAAGAGCAATAAAACTGATTTTCTGCGACGGTTTGTTATTACAGGCGAGACTTGGATTCACCACTATATACCTGAATCAAAAATTCAGTCTAAACAATAGGCGGAAAAAGGATCCCCGTCTCCAAAGAAAGCAAAAGCCGTGAAATCAGCGGGGAAAGTCATGGCGTCAGTATTTTGGGATTCGAAGGGTATATTGATGATTGATTACCTTCCAAAAGGACAAAACATAAATGGCGAATATTATGCTGATCTACAGGATAAATTACAAGTGTGATACGTGAAAACAGACCCGGCCTGGCTAAAAAAAAATAATCTTTCATCAGGATAATGCGCGCGATCAGACGTGCATCGCTGCGATGGCGAAATTCAAAAAATTATATTATGATTTGCTACCATACCCAGCTTATTCTCCTGATCTGGCACCATCTGACTTTCATCTATTCCCTAAGCTCAAATTTTTTTTAGGTGGACAAAGATTTGAAAATAATAACGAGGTGATGTTTGCCGTGAACAGTTATTTTGAAGGGCTTGAAGAAAACCACTTCAGGGATGGCATCAAGGCTTTAGAGCATAGATGGATGAAGTGCATAGCGCTACAAGGAGACTATGTCGAAAAATAAATATACTTTTAACACACTAATTCAAGTTTTTCTACGCTAGGCTAGCTATTTATCATCCCACCCTCGTAGTATTATAAATTGGTTGCCAAGCTGAATAATACCGCAAATTTCAAAAAGTTGTTGTGCTCGCAGAGTCCATAATATGAGAGTAGGTACTCGGTCAACCTTAACTAAAAAGCAGAGTTCGCTGATTATTATCAAGTGATATGTATCATGATATCTAACAATTGATATTTATAATATTTATTGTTAGTTTGAGTATTGGGTATTGAGCCTCAGCAAGAAAATTAACTAACCCAATGTAACGTTGGCAATATTGGCCCAAAGATTCGGATGCTTCGGATAGCGAAGCAATCTTACTATTATAGTTTTTATCTTTTCTTAAAATTGAATCACATCCAACTAACAAAATATTTATTTTACACTTTGATTTAAAAGATTAAATATTAAATAAAGCCACTAGCAGCTTATAAATCGCAGCTTTTCATATGCATGATAGATATCTGACAAATATCAAATATTGGATATTTTGATATTTATTACAAAGATCGGATTTTAGCAAACCCTGCTAAAAAGAGTGCATTAATGTCTTTTTAGAAGTCTCTAGAGAGTCCTCCAGATATGGATTCACCGGTGGGTAGCGTCAGCAGCGATCTACGTCGGCAGAATGAAGAATTGCGAGCTCGTCTCGCTGGCGAATCAGCCGATCATAAGCGCCGGCTGGATGCTTACCGCCGTGCTCAGCAGGGGCAAGCAGCTTTGGTTTCAAGATTACAAGCTAAGGTATCGTTATTGATCCACAGTAATAACTAAGTTCAAGAAGTCGCAAGAAAACAGCTAGTAAGATAGAACTACGAGAACTATGAATAAAAGTTTTTTTTTATTTACGCTAACATTTCATTTGCCTATAAAAGAAAAAAACAAATGTCTAAATCAGCTGTCTGATGGCTCTCTGTCAGTGTAACAAAATGTCAAAATAAATAAACAACAGTTTTTGTCGTAAAATTTTATTAAAATATCTTTATTGTTTTCCAATTTTAAATAAACAACTTGGAGTAAATTAATATACAAAAACCGTTGCTATAATTTTAATTGCTTTGAACTTATACAATTGCGAAGGTGCTGCAATACAAGCAGCGATGTTCGGAGCTCGAAAGTCAGATGTTAGAGACTACTCCTCGCAGCGATCCGTCCATTTATCGGCCAGGAAAGAGTGCTATCGCGCTCCCGCCGCCGGCCGCGCTGCCCTCCTCCGGGACCTCCTCCGACTCCCGGAGAGATGAACGAATTAACGACTTGGAGACGGCACTTCGCCGACTCGACGAGGAAAAACGCAAGTAGGTCTTCCATTAGAGCAAGTTAGTGTATTTTTTTACCTGTCGGGCTGCAAGCACGCAAATAGTTAGCAAGGTGTGATAGAGTTATTTAGCTGCTTAGGAGCTTCGGAAATTATTCATGAGTTGGACATATTCAACAAATTTAAATACATAAATGAAACAACTTTAAACAGTTTCATCTCATTTGTATTTAGTTTTATGACTTTTCTGACCCTTTACAGGTTCCGTGCTCACATACATTTATGTGAACATGATAAAACTAAATATAAATGCGATGAAACTGTTTAAAACTTGTTTGTAATTATCATTTTTAGTTCACAGTCTGAAATGTCATAAAACTAAATACAAATGTAATGAAATCATTTAAATATTGTTTCATTTATGAATAGTGTGTGTGAAAATACAACATATCTATTTAAATACACCTATAATATGCGGGCCCTTTTCTCTTTAAAGAAAAATTGAGGACATTGACCATGTGTTGGCCCAAATTTTGTTCCCACTCTTGGCGATTACCCCCCCTTAACATCACAGTGCCGTGTCCTGTCATTCAGAAAACAATATTGGTGATTGTGTACATTGTTATAAGAATATCATCTGTCTAAATTAACTCTAGGAATAAATGAGACCATGTTTTATTAAGTTGTCTTTGTCCCAAATAAATGGATTTTATTACTATTTTTAATAAAGTGTTTTTGTCTAGAAATAAAATGAGGAAAGTGCATAGTTTTCCTTGCATTTTTCATTTGTTAAAAATGTTGTTTTCAATGTTTTGGCAACAATATTTTATGCTATATGATTACTAGAATAATTTTTCATACATTAAATAGGTGTGAGAAATTGGTGGCCCAAAATAATCTACTCCGTGACCAACTAGAGGAGTCACACCAGCTGAACGAAGCCCTCACTGGAGATCTGCAAAAATTGACTAATGACTGGGAAGCACTACGTGATGAGATGTCTATCAAGGAAGATGAGTGGAAAGATGAGGAACAAGTAAGCGATTCAATAACAACATGCCTTAGATCAGTAGTTCTAACTTTTCAGTTGGTAGCGACCATTTGACAAATTTCTATCATGCCATGGACTACCTGGTGTGTTCGATATGCAATATCTAAATTTAGATAAATATAGCATCAGTAACTATCATCCAGGGACTATCAGTGGTCCATGAAACATCTGTTAAGAACCACTAAAAACTATTAATAAATTTTTTTCTCAGTTTTTTTGAACTTGAAACATTCCAATAAGCCTATTGAAATATAAAGTATGACAATATAAGGTATAAATAAGATGTAAATCAAAATTTAATTTGTTACAATTTCTGTTGAACTCATAAAGAAACTAATACCATTACACTATTTGTTTTGTCAGGCTTTCAATGACTACTATTCGAGTGAGCACAACCGCTTGCTCAATCTGTGGCGTGAAGTGGTGGCCGTGAAACGGTTTTTCAATGAGCTGCAGGCCAACACAGAGCGCGACCTGTTCCGCGTCAAGAGCGATCTTGACTCATCTGTACGTGAACTCATAGGCACCCTCACTGGTTACTCTATCAACACATACGCTGCTCAAGGATCGAAGGTAACAACCGCATTCGACACATTACTTGGTAATGTAATTATTGGGAATTTTGTATTTACAATACTATCTTCATATTTATATAAGGTTTTTTAATTATTTTTAAGATATATAATTTTTGTTGTAAATGACATTGGCTTTTCATATAAGGCTTTTATTTAAAAATGCAAAAAAAAACACTTTGTGGAATACAATAGATATTTAGAATATCTAATTAGCCTTTTCATTTCATCTACATGAAAGAATACTTAAGTTTATGATGGGTGATTATAATTTAATAATGTTATAATGCTTTGTGATTTTTTTATCAAAAATGTAAAAAAATTACATGTAAAAAATTTAAAACCTTCCTATAGAATTTGATTTGCATTCAGTGTCTTAGTTGGGGCAAAATTATGTAATAGCTGTTCTAACATACTTAATTCTTCAAGTTATTGACCTAACACACATTTTTTTGTTCTCTTTACAAAACTCTTAAACCTCCGTCTTATCTCAATTAGCATTTTCAGTACTTATGTACCATTCATACCAAAAACCTTCATTCCTCTTCAAATCGGCGACTCATATGTCCATCTCACCACTCCTACACCATTCAATCTTCGTTCTTTGTTAAATCGACTCAGTTGTGAAATGAACTTCCGTTCGACATCAGAATGTCCACCAGAAAATTTATATTTAAAAACAAGACATAGCTTTCTGTTGAACAGGCAAATTTGTTACACCATTAGTCTTCTATATTATATATATACATTATATTATTATATGTTATGAGCGTATATATGTATTGTTTATGTTTGTTAATGTATTTTGTTATATGTAGCAAATACGTAAGCGGCAACCGGAGGATGCAAAAAAAATCAATTTTTATTTTAGACTATTTAATATAATTAAAATATTACAACTAAGTATGTGACTATTGTTCGATGGTGTAATAAAAAGTGTCGCTTTGTAGGTCGTCGCCGCATCGTCCGGTGTCCGATGATGCACGTTCCGCAGCGTCAGCGCCTCGTGACTGGTTCATAGTTTGTTTCGTAATTTTGGGTAATCGCTAGCTTGCAGGTTGCACGATGTGGCAGTGTGTAACATCTCCCCCCGTAGTACAGCAACTAGATGAACCTTTTGTGAGAGATAGTTGTTGAGATGTTTCTGTGATCCGCTTCTATTTCGCTCTGGTCTGGCGAAGCGTAGATGACACGTGGAATATCTTCGCTCGCTTTAATTATGACGTTATCTTGTTTCTGTAGATTTTGTGACCGTAGACGTCTGTAGACTACGACAGCGATGAGTGCTACGAAGCCAGTTAATATTATAGTGTAGATAGGGATCGTAGTATGGTAAAGTGAGGATTCTGTTATTTTTTCCAAATGGACTGGAGTCTGCATAGATATCTTCGTGTTTATTGAATGCAGATTTTCTAAGTTCACAGAGTTTAAGACCACGTGTGGATGTTCCTGGTAGCTAGACTCATTATACTTAGCTATTTCCATTATTTTAACTGCGTGTCCTTTGATGCGATCGTTGGTATTGGCAATGGTGAATTCAGATGATTTCAGATGACAGTTGAACGGGATGGCAGCGAGATAACTTCCTTGAAGGGTTTTATATAACTCTTGTCCGCAGGATATTTTCACTTTGGTTGGCCTCGGGAAGCTGATTGTATAGTGTTTGCTATCCAATTCTTCGAGGGCTTCATTTCGTAGGGTTACAGTAGTTGGCTTGCAGTTCGGATGCAGTTGCTGTTTCATTATAAGATGTTGGATGCAGTCAGGGTCATTTTGTATTTTGTGATTGGATGATGTTTCGCAGAGAAACCAGGAGTTCACCTTCGGGCATTCTGCCTCCATGTACATATAATCTGTTCCAGAAGTTGCTATATAAGGCGAAGGAGGTATAAGGGTTTTGTGGTTTTTATTGGGAACTATGGCTAGTTTATATAGATTGAATAGAAAGGGATAGGCAATCGGTACCTTAATAACTATTGTTATCTCATTGTCAGCGTAAAAATAACCTAATTTAATTATATCATAAAAGTTTCTATAATCTATATCCAAAATTTCATCTTTCGGGTATAGGACCCTTAATTTGCTTAACATATTCTTTATCTCGCTTATACTAACTATAGAATGGGGTGTACTCGATGTACGAATAAATGCTAAGGTGTTTTCTAATCTAAATAATTCTTGAGATAAGTTTTCTATATTATCTCCTAAAATAACTAAATGTTGCGCTAAGTGCGCGTATTTAATTAAATCATTTTCTCTGGTACTATCACTTTCCATTATTACTTTTAATACCTGATTTATCTTATCTTGATTTTTTGCTAAATTATCTATCGTAGTTGAAGTATGAAAGATCCAATTCTTATTTAGGGTGATATGATTATTAATTTCAGATTCCAATTTCTGTTCGTTACTTTGGAGAGTTTTTATCGCATGATTGTATTTTATAGCATCTGTGTAGTCAAGGTTACCAGAAATACTCTTGATTACGGATCCGAGACCATCAATGAGCCCTCGTTTACTACGATTTGGTCTGAAAGTTAGTAATTGTTCTGAAATTCTATTAAGCTTAGCATGAAGATGTTCGACATGAGGGTCATATAGTGATAAAGTTTTATTATTCAATTGAGGTCTAAATTCTAATAATTGAGTTTTTACTAATTTAATTTGGGAATATAGGGTGTTAAGGTCAATATAATTTAAGAAGGAATGATAGTGTGCTACAATTTTAGTTGGTCCTAGTTTGAAGGGTAGTAGTCCTGGTCCGTCATCCAAAGAGTCAATCGTTACATCTTGTCCGTTGATCAGTTGAAGCAGGGTCAGTAATAGTAGTGTCCTGTAACAATGTCGGGTCTTTAGGGCTTCTTTTCAGGCGTGATTTGGCGACAGGGCCGCGTTTCTTTTTTGTAAAAATATGAATTGGGAGGTCCGCGAGTACAGTGTCTTGGGTATATCTAGGGGCTAGCTTTTGACGGCTGGCTAAGGGGTTGCGAATGAACATTTGTTGGTCAGGAATGTACTCTTTTTCAGGTTCACGATCTTTGTTCCTATTTTCAGTCAGTTCGGTTCGATTATGTAAAGCTGTTTCATTTATTATATTATATACGCTAGTTATCCGTTTTTTATGATCCTGTAAGTATTGCTGTAATAGATGTTCTGTAAGGTCAATATCTAATGGGTCTCGTGGGTCAAAGTGTCATGTGATTAAATCTATGGGTCTGCATTTGGTAAAACTGTGGATGGAACTGTTATAACCTAATATCGCGTATGGCATTAGATTGAACACTGGTTCATTATTTTTTTCGAGTCTAAGTATTCTAAGATGTTCTAGTATAGTAGAATGGAATCTTTCTACTATTCCATTATCATTAGGACTATGTGCTAGGACTTTATGGTGCTGAATTTTATGAAGTCTTGTAAATTCTGCGAATAACTGATTTGAAAATTCGGGTCCTTGATCTGATACTATCGTTATGGGAATTCCATGGTGAGTGCAAAACTTTAATAGGGACTGAACGACACTAAGGGCTGTACCATCCCTTAAATGATAAGCTTGGGCGTATTTTGAAAAGGCATCCACAAGTGTCAGATATTTTTCAGTTTGAATTGTTAATAAATCGAGATGAAGGATTTCGAATGGCTTTGTTGGGGGTGGTACAATAGCGAATCTTTGTTTAATGGGATGACGGTCATATTTTGCTCTACCACAAATATTGCATTCATTTATATATTTTGCTATGTGCTCTTTCATCTTAGGCCAGTAAAATCGTGAAGAGAGATATAAGAAGCATTCGTTAATACCACGATGGTTCGTTTTCCCTTCGTGATATTTTTGTATGATTTCTTGCTGACGCAAGTACTCTTTTACGTTTTCTAATTCTGATTTAGTTAATACTAGTTTCATCGCAGAACTTTTAAAGTTATCTTGAATTATTGGGATAATTTTGTACATGGCTAAAGGTGGATGAATTATGATGCCTGTTTGGACCTTGGGGTTGACGTATTCCTTTATTGCGTTGATAACGTCTACCTTAAGGTTGGATTCTGATAACTGTATGGTAGTTCGTGTGTGAGTCTCAAAAGGTTTTGTCACAGTTGGTCGTTTTCTAACGTCACCTACTAATACAAAGCATATTTGTCTGTTAAATTTGTTAAGGGGCTCGTCAGATATAGGTACCTCAAGTATAGGGTTTTCAACGCTAGTGTGAGCAGTAGCTGTGGTTGATAAAGTTAAAGTCGGTGGTTTTTCGGAGGGGTTTACCACAATTGAGCTTGTGTCTTCGTTATTAATTTCAATACGTGATAATGCATCCGCATTGGTGTTGTGTTTGCCTTGTTTATAAACTGTAGTGAAATTATACTCGCTTAATTTTAACCTCCAGCGTGTTAATCTGGAGTTGGGTTCTTTCAAGTTCATAACCCATTGCAAGGGCTTATGATCGGTGACTATTTTAAATTTTCGGCCAAACAGATAGGGCCGAAAGTACTTAGTTGCCCAAACTATAGCTAAAAGCTCTTTCTCTATAGTACTGTAGTTAATTTCACTAGAGTTTAAAGTGCGCGATGCATAAGCAATTGGCTTATCACTGCCTATAGGTCCTTGTGATAGCACAGCACCAATAGCAAAGTTAGAGGCGTCGGTGGTAAGTACAAAGTCTTTTTCAAAGTTAGGGTATTGTAATATAGGGTCGTTTGTTAGTAACTTTTTACAGGTCTCGAAGCAGTCAACATAATTAGAATTGTTAAGTATTATCTTTGAACCTTTTTTTAAGCATTGAGTCATAGGTTTAGTGATCTTTGCAAAGTCAGGGATGAACTTTCTGTAATAGCCTAATAGTCCTAAAAAACGTTTGATTTCGGTGGCTGACCTAGGTAACGGGAATTTCTGGATTGCCGCGATTTTATCGGGGTTTGGTTTTATACCATCTTTGCTAATTATATGACCTAAATATGCTGTCTCTAATTTGAGGAATTCTGACTTATCCATCTGGATTTTGAAGTTAGAGTCCCTTAATCTTTTGAATACTTTTTCCAAATTGACCATATGCTCCTGAAGGGAGACACTAAATACTATAATATCGTCTAAATAAACCAGGCACACCACGTTTTGTAGATCCCTGAGAACATTGTCCATCACTCGTTGGAATGTAGATGGAGAATTTTTTAGACCCATGGGCATTCTCAAAAATTCAAAATGCCCATATTCCACATTAAATGCTGTTTTCTGTATATCGTCAGGGTTCATCTCCACCTGGTAAAACCCACTCGCAAGATCGAGGGTGGTGAAGTAATGGCAGTTACCTAGCTTATCGAGAACATCGGCTATGTTCGGAATAGGATATTTGTCGTCGATGGTTTTTTCATTAATTTTGCGGAAATCTACTACTATACGCCATTTAGCTTTACCTGACGCATCAGCTTTTTTGGCAACTACCCAGATGGGTGAGCTCCACGCTGATTGAGATGGTCGGATTATACCTTGATCCAGCATTTTGCCTATTTGTTCCTGAACTTCCTGCCTATGTATAAATGGGTATCGATAGCTTTTTGTGTATACCGGTACCTCATCAGTTGTGCGAATGCTATGCTTAATCTTGTTAGTAAAGGTAAGGGGTTCACCGTCAATGTAGAAAACGTCGGCGTAACGAGCACAAAGAGCCTCTAAATTAGCGCGTTCTCCAGGGTTTAGATGATCTGTGCGTAAGCGAGATAATACTTGTGATACGCGGTCGGGTTGCTGTTCAGTACGCGTGCACTGAATATTAAATAACTCGGCACTGACGGGTCTATCCATAGAAAAAATTATGTCATGCTTAGTAGGGTTGGTCACCTCCACTATGCCTCTATTGTTTTTAACATTTGTTACGCAATAGTTTATATAACAGTTAGAAATTATTTGTTCAGATATAAACGCTTCTCCATCATGAAAGTTAACTGGTATTCGTACTAATTTAGATGTATTCGCGGGTATCATTGCTTCATAAAGATTACAATTACGTGAATCATACATAAGAAGAGGAATTTGAGACTGCCTAGTGACTAATAACTTATTTTTTAAATCAATAGTGGATTCTAATTTTTCTAATAAATCATAACCAATCAATCCATCAAAGTAATCGTGAAAGCGATAAATAAAGAAAGTAATATCATCATTCTCGTTTAGTTCAGTAAAACAAGGTAAAGTTATTGAATAGTCGTTACGCGTTGTAGCGTGGATGTTAGTCACTTCAAAGGGATCATAATTTTGCGGTATGTGTGAGAAAAATCTTTCTACTGCCATAGGACTGATAAAAGATTGATTGGCGCCAGTGTCTATAAGAAATTTAAGAGGTGGACTAGCTATCTGTATGTAAGGAAGCTGGCGCTGTGTGTGGAAGTTAATTTCTATTTTGGCTTTTCTGATTTTGTGATTTCCTGAAAATCCTCATTACTGTCAGTGATAGGAATGTCATTAGGTTCATCTTTCGGGACGTACTCTGGATAGTAAGGATAACACGTGTCGTCACTAGCGAAGTCATATTGATCGTAATAGTCAGTGTAGTAGTCATAGTGAGAGTCATATGCCTGTGGTTGGTCATAGAGCTCATTAAAATTTATTTCCCTTGTCTTAAAATAGTTAGAAGGGGGTGGATTCCCGAATTTAGACCAGTCGTGTGGTGTACGCATTGGAAGAGGTTTAGTTACGTAATGGCTAACACCACTCATGGGTTGAGGTGCAGTGTTGGCATTATTATTATTTGAGAACCCTGGATTTCTGGGTGGCATCCTAAAGACATTACTCTGAGGTCTATAGTTAGGCGGGGGTGCAGCAAACATTTGTTGCGTGCGAGTAGGGCCATGTTGAGGCGGTTGGGGTCTCCAACCTTGCATTGACCTCTGTGGCTGTGCTACAAAGGGCCTTGAAGGGCCAGGCATATTAAAAGGTTTTAAAGGACCGGGCAAATTAAATGGTTTCGAGTTAAAGTTAAAATTAGTTCGAGGGGGTTGCATCGTGATAGGCGAGGGCAGCCCGATCTGCTGTGGCATGCTGTAAGAAAATTTTGGTAAGTTAAATGAAGACGTGGACTGCGACTTTCTCTCTGGAAGATGATCATTACGCTGCTGTAAGTATAATGTGTTCATTTCGTCGTTTACATATTCAAGGGCATCCTCAATAGTTTTAGGACGCATGCATCTTATACGGCACCCTAAAGGGTCGCGGAGACCACGTAAGTATGATCTAAGGGTTAATTCCTTATATAATTCGCGCTTAGCTTCAATAGTGGTTGACACATTTTCATGCAAGTTAATGTAAGTCATAATTATGCTAAATAGGTTTTGACATTGTTCATAGAACTCCTGAGGGGTTGCCGACCCTTGAGTTAAAAGGGAGAGATCATTGTACAACGAGGCTTCATCGCGGTGGTCCGCAAAGTTATTAACAAGTGCGCTCCTTATTCCAGCCCAACTAGTCGACACTCCACTGGAGTTTATTGTACGAGCAGCGGGCCCTGTAATTTTATTTAATATACCGTTTATCACTGCCAAATTTCCTAGTTCGTTACCTACTTGCATATACTGTTTTACTATTGCATCACATATATTTATAAAGCGCACAAGAACGGCCGGGTTCCCGTCAAAATCCGGTAATATTCTAAGTATTTTATAGATGGGTTCCATAGAATCCCGAGCCGAAACTTCCGGTTCCATAGTTTCGTCTGAGTTTTCACTTATCGTATCTAATTGTCTATTTAAATCTACTAATAATGATCTACTTATTCTATCTAATCTAAGGTTCCGCGATTGCCTGGGATGGAAAATCTTGGAAAAGTTAGGAAAACTTACAATTAAAAAAGGAAAGCAACTCTAGTAAGATCTATGTACTTACATAAGCATATTATATTGATTTCTCTGCATGGGTCGATGTCTTGATCCTCCTCTGGTATGCAGCTCCCGTAGATTCCGGATACTCGAAGACGGAGCTTGAAAGCCGCCCGGGCGATCCGCGACGTGATTCCCGAAAATTCCCGAAAATAATTCGCGTACCGACCCGCGAGTATCCTACCGACTGCGCCAAATACGTAAGCGGCAACCGGAGGATGCAAAAAAAAATCAATTTTTATTTTAGACTATTTAATATAATTAAAATATTACAACTAAGTATGTGACTATTGTTCGATGGTGTAACAAAAAGTGTCGCTTTGTAGGTCGTCGCCGCATCGTCCGGTGTCCGATGATGCACGTTCCGCAGCGTCAGCGCCTCGTGACTGGTTCATAGTTTGTTTCGTAATTTTGGGTAATCGCTAGCTTGCAGGTTGCACGATGTGGCAGTGTGTAACATAGCTTTTATTTCCTTTATTTGTAAATAAAGGAAAACCTCAAATTAGGCATTTTAGGACATTAAGTCCGCCAATGTACTCTGTGCATGAAGTGTTTAAATAAATTTGATTAAGAATGTTTTTGTTTTGCGTCCTGTTAGATTTTATACAGAGGAATTAACGCTAAGTAACTTTCATATTATAACGCCATCTTTTCTTATGTTATTATCAGTCCGAAAATCAACCCCTTCACGGACAGTCGCTGCCTGGATCCACAGTCAACGTTGGTCTAGAGACTTTACGCGTAGAACTGAGGGACATGACGTCACAACGGGACACCGCACTAGCCGAGTTGCGAGAACGAGACGCACGCATACAACGCCTCTTGGGCGAATTGCAAGGATTGGTAAGAGCTTGTTATAAGTACTAAATTTAAGAACATTTTAGTATACATTTTACTTCTATTTTAGATATCATACATGTTTTGTAATAGCTTACGGTATTGATACCGGGATCCCTTTCATTCGACTATTTTTTTTTCCTATTTTAGTTTGGCATAACGAGTTACGCATACTTTTTTTTTGTCATAATAGTTTTTTGGCATAATTGGGTTTTGGCATACTATTTCAATAGGCATAAATATAGTTTAGAATATTATTTTTTGCCCTATCTTTTATTTGCATAAAGTTATTAGGCATATCGTTTATTTGCCTAATAGTTATTAGTAGGTAGGTATTAGGACACCTTCGTGTAACAGTAGGTTAGGTTGCGGCGAGGGTGGCCCTTGGGCCACCCATAGCCGCCAACATGTTTATTTTATGTAGAAAAAGTAGTTTTAAACTTAAGCTTTAGTATTAATATGCTTAAGCATATTTATGCGTAAGAACATTATGATTAAGAATAATTATGCGTAAGAATATTATGGTTAAGATTTATTATGCTAATAGTAGGTATGCTTAAAAAAATATGCCTAAAAACTTATGCTAAATAATATTATGCGTTACAATTATTAGGCTAAACAAAGGTATGCCATGTTAAATTATGACATAAAATTTTATGCAAATAAATAGAGAACCATTGATACCATTTCTATTGTACAACTCTCTAAAATCAACTAAATCAATAAATGTAACATAATATATAATTTATTTTGTTTCTGATTTAAATTAACTCACAATAACAGCTTATCAAAGGAAAATTAATTAAAATCCTGTATACTATAAAACAATGGGATGATATTGGTATCTTAGTTATTTACTGAATTGAAAACGCAGTTAAACGGAAATAAAACTTTATTTTTATTATGGAATTGCTGCTATTGGCTGTTAGTGTTGCGTATGTGATATTACCTGATAAATTTACTATCATGCTGTAAATATGTGTAGGAGGAGCGTTGTGAATGCGCGGAGACGTTGTGTTCCGAAGCGACCGTGATGAGGTCCGCGCTGGAGGAGGTGGCGCGAGCCCTCATACAGGACTCCGAGTGTGACACTACTGTACACCATCTCACTGACAGGTATCCACCACTACCCTCATACGGGACTCCGAGTGTGATACTACTGAACACCATCTCACTGACAGGTATCCACCACTACCCTCATACGGGACTCCGAGTGTGATACTACTGAACACCATCTCACTGATAGGTGTCCACCACTACCCTAATACAGGACTCCGAGTGTGACACTACTGTACATCATCTCACTGACAGGTATCCACCGCTACCCTCATACGGGACTCCGAGTGTGATACTACTGTACACCATCTCACTGATAGGTATCCACCGCTACCCTCATACGGGACTCCGAGTGTGATACTACTGAACACCATCTCACTGATAGGTGTCCACCACTACCCTAATACAGGACTCCGATTGTGACACTACTGTACATCATCTCACTGACAGGTATCCACCGCTACCCTCATACGGGACTCCGAGTGTGATACTACTGAACACCATCTCACTGATAGGTGTCCACCACTACCCTAATACAGGACTCCGAGTGTGACACTACTGTACATCATCTCACTGACAGGTATCCACCGCTACCCTTATACGGGACTCCGAGTGTGACACTACTGTACACCATCTCACTGACAGGTATCCACCACTACCCTCATACGGGACTCCGAGTGTGATACTACTGAACACCATCTCACTGATAGGTGTCCACCACTACCCTAATACAGGACTCCGAGTGTGACACTACTGTACATCATCTCACTGACAGGTATCCACCGCTACCCTCATACGGGACTCCGAGTGTGATACTACTGAACACCATCTCACTGATAGGTGTCCACCACTACCCTAATACAGGACTCCGAGTGTGACACTACTGTACATCATCTCACTGACAGGTGTCCACCACTACTCTCATACGGGACTCCGAATGTGACACAATCTCATTAATAAAGACGTGTTAAACCTATATAATTTAATGTAATATCATTCTATATTACGACGGCGAAGTGCCAATACCTTGTAATTGCAGGCCAATTATTTCTTTTTTGTCTGTTTTTTTTATAAACTCATATGTTAAAAAAGAAAATTATATGTTGCTGTAAGCATAATTTTTATAAATGTGTTGTGCAAAATAATGAATCGTTCGTTCATTCATTCATTCATAGATCACCGAAACGTAACGTGTCACAGGCGGCCAATGCGACAGCGTTCGCGGAGAGTACAATATCAGCGGTACAGGCGGCGTTACACAAGTACCAGATACAAATACATGAACTCCAAGTAATTATATAAAATAAATGAATTTAAACGTTGTTAGAATTATTTATTTAAAGTACTCGCATTGTTTTGATTATCTAGAAAATTGTAATCATAGTTAGCGACTTTGATATCTACCTAGGTAGTAGCTTGAATCGCCTGTTCTCCAGGTTTTAAATACACGCGTTCAAGCTTTTCAGTATCCCTACTTACATTTAAATTTATAATAATAGCAATGGAAACATCGAAAGAATGTTTTTAAAATATATGTCTTTGAATGCAAGATGAGGTTGGCTAGTGCAGTACCTACGTACTGTTTTCACTAGCTGTCCTTGCGTTTGGACTACGCCTCCGCTTACCATCAGGTGAAGCGCAGTCATTTGCCCTCCATTTTATATAAAAAAAAAAATAATAAGTTATATAAATAATTTCGAGGCATTAGAGTGGGATCGCCTTCTTTTATTGTCGCTTCTATGTGAAGCACATTATTCGCTAGGGTATGACATCATTAAATGTATATTTCTATCCTTGTCTAATTGCTATCTCACAGTTAATAGCAGATTTGTTATATAAAATTGTCAAATTTTTGCAATCGATTTTTAGTCCTGTGATAAATACGTTCCTATATGACTGCAATGATTTCCAATTTTGTGCAGCTCTAAGTCACTGTATTAAACTGTGTAATGATTTCAGGTGAAACTGCAGAATACAAGAGAACAATTATCGACGAATAGAAAACATTGCGAAACAGCTGAGAGTAACGTGGCGTCGCTTGAAGCGAAGGTGCAAGATCTACAAGGTAACAAAGTGTTAAAGTCTAGAGGGGGTCCTTGTCTATTTTGGTGATATCAGAGCAGGCTCTTAACCGTAGATAGTAGGTAGATATACAAAGTCCAAGCTGCCCTCTTCCTGCTCCATCGGTACGCCTGTTTATGTAAGAATGAATGAGAGGGAAGAGTTTTCAAGGCGCTGCCATCTCTGATATAGAAAACTCTGTTTCTGTAATAGCTAGATCATTTGATGTCAGCAGAAGGTCGAATAATGCTTTAAAAAACTTGCTAATATTATAAATGCGGCAGTTTGTGAGGATGTATGTATGTTTGTTACAAAAACTAATAAACGGATTTTGATTAAATTTGGTGTACGGGTAATCCTAAGACTGAATTAAAATATTGACTCCTTTTTATCCCACTAAACGGTTCCCTAGGGAAGCGCGCTAAGCAGCTGGCAGAGAGCTAGTAAAATAATAAATGAATAACTTGTTCAGGTAAACTCGACCAGGCGAACGCTGATATCAACCAGCTGGTGCAGGAGAAAGAGATGATGCAGAAAACAATAGAATCGTTGAGAACAGACAAGAACAATTTAGAGAGGAACAGAATAGAAATCAACGCCATGGTAAGTTAATTTCGCACGTTCAGAATGACAATGTCACTAAACAAAAACGACGTATTTTTCACTTTTGGCAACATTTTTCTTTGTTAAGTGTAAACTTTAAAATGCAAAGATCCCTGTGAACGTAGCTTGCATAGAAACTGCTGGGTGGCCTAGTGACGATACGTTGTTTAGAGGGGCTGATTACAATTTCTTGAACTTTGAACGCTCATTACTCAAAATCGTATTTTTTGCATTGTGTCACTATCGTTCTCAATGTACGAATTTTGATATTTAATTTGATTACATAGATCTTTTTATAAAGGTATAACCTTTGATATTGAAGAAGACCGAGGCCAGGGAGTTTGCCTCGGTCTTTTTCAATAAACCAATAAACACACCATACAACCGTTTATATTGTCATGAACTGAAGTCTTTTTTATTTTAAATTTGCGAATGACATTTATTTTTGATACTGAGAATTCTGAATGTAAATTGCCAAAAGGTTTGCGTTGCAGGTCGCTAACAGATATCAATAATGGACCATTGAATGATAATACTAACCAGATATAATTGATTAAATTAGCTCACTATTATCGTTATTTTCTTTATATGGGGGTAATAAAACCCTGTCTAGGTATTTGAGCGTGCAAATAAAGAAATTAATTGTTTAGCTTTAAAAGGTTATTTCGTGGAAGTAAATGTTATATTTGACGACCAAACTATGAGAAATTTCTGTGAAACTACGCAAGTTCTATTACGTCCCTGATATTCTTTCGTCTATCCCTGATATGGCGACGCTGTTGGCAACGCCATATAATGTTTTTGTTAACAATTATGTAGGTCGAATCACTGACATCGGATTATGAGAAACTGCAGAAGATAAACTCCCGTCTTGAGAAGAACATAGAATCTCTGGAGAACGAGAAGCGAGCACTCGATGGAGAAGTGGACCATCTGCATAGAGAGGCGGCTAACAGGGAGTCTATACTCAGGTGGGGAATAATATATCAGCCTGTTAATGCCCTATTAGGGTATTCTCAGTGTGAAATAATACTTTTATTTTAATAAATATATAAAGAAATAAACGCGTTTTCTTGCCTTAAAATTAAATCAAAATTTAAACATTTTTTATACCCGCGTAAACTTTGTCCGTCATATTCATGACGTCATTGTAACATGTACACAAAACAGATGCATGAAGTAAAAAATTAAAAGATGTTTATAAAATAACAGTGGCATCTAACGATCGATTACGAAATAAAAATATATGAATAAGTTAAGAACAGCACCATCTAGGCATTTGATTTATAATTAATAGGGATATCTTTTTCGCCACAGTGACACAATGACGGGACGTGTTTTAAATTACGTGACACATAGACAAAAAATCAAGACTTAACTTTAAGATAATCTACGATTTTAAGATTGAAAATCAGAATCTCTTTGTTTATAACGATGTAAATTTTAGTTTTTGTGCAACCCCTTCTATTTTTCACTACCGATACTTCCCTATTCCGGAGTGCAGGTTTTCCTTACACTAAAAGCATAAAGGAAGAATAGGCCAGTGCGGGCTGATGGTTATTAACAACTGGACCAACGTCTTAACGTGTCTTCTGTCTGAAGCACGGAGGAAATCGAGATGATAAATTTTTGGCCACCTATTCGACCGATCTTTATGTATGTTGCTTAACCTCAGCAATCGCATACCGAATTACCGAACTATTAAGTGACCTCATATAAAGTTATGTTTAAATATTAGCTAGTTCAAAGACATGAAGTGGTTTTCTAGTAACTTCGAAAATTATTCACTTTATGTTATACGCTTTGATAGAGTATTAAACCTCGGAAATACGCTATTTCATTATATTACATGTTTCCACTTTAATGCCATAATATTATCCATAAATATTCGTTTCGTACTGTTACATCTAGAAAATGTTCCTGTAACTGCTGTGCCAACGATTTCCAGCTGACACAGCATTTTCAGGGCTTTGTGCATCGAGGACTGCCTCTCGCGAGTCAGTCTGCCACATCCCGCCGGTTCGGTCAGTCGCATCCACGGACTATTAACCCAGTATAGTTTTAGGGCTAAATAAATATTATTTTTTAAAAAGACTCTTTAAATCCTCAACCTAACATTGGTGGCAGCGGCAAAGGGATCAGGAAAATTGATCCACGGTACGCCTTTATCCAAACTCGCGAACTCGAGTGATAATCGTCAGAAAAGTTAGTAAAATTAGTTAAGTGAACAAGAACAAGTTCCGTGAGTGATTCTATCAACATTATCGACGTTCCGTTCCGGCTCATCTAACCAGGCAGGCTCACCAATCGTCCAGCCTAGTAACCAGTGTGTCAAGCAGTTGCGCAACGGCGTGTCCCCCGGGAGCTCTTGGCATCCACTACAGCTAAGCTGTGATAATCCAGTTCCAGAGGATCCAGTTCCAGTTTCAAACCAGAAATCCAGTTCCAGTTTCAAACCAGAGATCCAGTTCCAGATCAGAGGATCCAGTTCCAGACCAGAGGATCCAGTTCGAGTCCCAGTCGGTTCCAGTTCCAGACTGTTCCAGTTGTTCTAAAGTGTAACTATGAAAAAACTAATCCTGTAAGTCGAAACCCTTTTAATTACTTACCAGTGCAGTGTTAATTAGTTAGTGAATCCCTATAAGTTTATTTCAAGAGACCATAATTCATTTCGTTATAATTATTACCTTTATTAATAAGTTAGACAGTGTAACAATTCTTATCGCGCCCATAAAAAAGTCTAGACATCGACGTCCGAGTGCGCCCACGCATTCTCGAAAGTCTAAACAGAGTGCTTATCTCTGTATTATTCTCCGTACTAGTTTGTTCTTAAGAATTTAATAGATATTATTTTATTTTAACCTTGTACTTATGAGCTTTACGACACCCAACATTCACGTTAACTATATATAATTATGCAAAGAGTACCTAAGGAAGAAAAGGGCAGATTAACATTAGAGATTCCATTATCCGACAGTGAGGTTGAACAAATAAAATCAACCCCTAGTTCACCCCGTGTTACAAGAGCCGCCGCGGCATTTTCAAAGTTAGATATGGAGTTAAGTATCTTATTTAAATTTATTAAAACATATGATGGGAGTCGTGAAACTCTAAATTCTTTTATTGTCAATTGCAATAATGCATATGAATTGGCTTCGGAAATACAAAGACCCATATTATTTAAATATATATTAAGCCAATTAAATGGCAAAGCAGAAATTGCGTGCTCAATTAAGGAATTTACTTCGTGGGAACAATTAAAAGAATTCCTAAAATATCAATTTAGTGAGCGTAAACATTACTCACATTTATTAACCGACCTTCAAGAGAGCAGGCAAAGTTTGCATGAAAATGTAAGTCAATACTCATTACGCGTAGAAACGCTTCTTTCGCAATTATTAACTGAAATTTCGTTGTCTACAACAAAAGCTAAAGAATTACCAGGTCGAACCGCATCTATGGAGGATCTCGCGCTCCATCACTTTCTAATGGGTTTACATCCCCGAATTTCGAACATTGTTAGGTGCCGTTCTCCTAAAAACTTAAACGAAGCTATAAACCTAGCGATATCCGAGGAACGGATACAACAAAGTCTCTATAAGCGTTCACAGACCGATCCGAAACCAAAACCTACTGAATCGAATTTTAAACGACAATTTAATAAACCTCCACTACGACGGCCATCATTTGATGGGTACGCGAACAACGGCTCGTTCTTCCCTCGTAATACAAGCTCACCATTTTGCAGGTATTGTAAAAGAAACGGACATGTTCTCGAGAATTGCGCCCTTCGAGAACAAAATAATAAAAGATTTTATCCATCTTCGTCTAAACCTTTCACTCCAACTAATCAGTCGTCGTTCAAACCGAGGCCTCACGTAAATTTCGTAGAGGAAAACCAAGAACAAATAGATAATACTGAACAAGATAATTTAAACTACTAAATGTCCCGTCAAGGTGTCGCACGGGACAAAATCCTATAAATCGTAAATACGCCGACACCACAAAAATAAATTCTCTTATACAACAGACCCATGGACAGGGTAACCAGCCCCAAACTCGCGGTCTCTCCTCAATGACCCATGGACAGGGTAACCAGCCCCAAACTCGCGGTCTCTCCTCAATGACCCATGGACAGGGTAACCAGCCCCAAACTCGCGGTCTCTCCTCAATGACCCATGGACAGGGTAACCAGCCCCAAACTCGCGGTCTCTCTTCAATGACCCATGGACAGGGTAACCAGCCCCAAACTCGCGGTCTCTCCTCAACGACCCATGGACAGGGTAACCAGCCCCAAACTCGCGGTCTCTCTTCAATGACCCATGGACAGGGTAACCAGCCCCAAACTCGCGGTCTCTCTTCAATGACCCATGGACAGGGTAACCAGCCCCAAACTCGCGGTCTTCTGAAACAAAAAAGTGAATTAAATAAAATATTCAAAATAATATCAAAAGATAAATACTTACCTTACATCCAAGTTGAAGCATCCATAGGGAAAAAGCCCCTTATCCTTCTAATCGACTCCGGTGCATCATTATGCGTCCTAAAATTGAATGCCGTATTCGATATTCCAATAGAATTATGTGATACCAAAGTCAATGTTAAAGGAATTGACTCTAAAGATGAAACCATTGAAAGCCTAGGTAGCTTTGACCTTCAACTATATTTTGACAGAGGATTAAAGATCATTCATCCATTTCATATTTTTAATGATATTAATCTACCTTATGACGGTATAATAGGCAGCGACCTACTCACAAAATTCGGTTGCAATATCGATTATACTAAAGATGTTCTCAAAATCGGTTCTAAAGAAATAACTTTACAATTTTCAGCACCCGAATATACCATACCTCCACGCTCGGAAAAAGTTATCGAGTGTTCAGTAAATAACCCTGAAATTAGAGAAGGTGTAATAACAGACACACATTTTTCTAACGATTTATTAATAGCAAATTGTCTAGTTAAAGTAAAAGATAATAACAGAGTCAATATTTCTGTAGTGAACATTTCTGAAAAACCAATCAATTTAAAATCAAATCTTAACCTTGAACTTACCCCGATAAATCCAACTGAAATGATTAACACCAACATTGAATTTCAACCTAATGGTAGCTCCTTAAAGCGAACTCAAGACGTCCTAGATAAATTAAGAACCTCTCACTTGAATGCTGAAGAAGCAGAAGCACTTTACGATGTTTGTGCTAATTTCTCAGATATCTTCCATCTTCCAACTGATAAACTTACTTTCACAGATGCTATGAAGCATCATATAAAGACAACTTCAGACAATCCAATCCACACAAAATCTTACAGATTTCCTGAGATCCACAAAGCCGAAGTTCAAAAACAAATAGACCAAATGTTGGATCAGGGTATCATCACTCCATCTATGTCTCCCTGGTCATCACCCATATGGGTGGTTCCAAAGAAACTAGACGCTTCCGGCGAAAGAAAATGGCGTGTAGTAATAGATTACCGCAAATTAAATGATATAACCATAGGAGACACTTATCCTATTCCACAAATAACAGAAATTTTAGATCAATTAGGCAAAAGCAAATATTTTTCAACCTTGGATCTCGCATCAGGTTTCCACCAGGTATTGGTAAATGAAGACGATGCACCCAAAACCGCGTTCAGTGTACCTCAAGGACACTTTCAGTTTACTCGTATGCCATTCGGTCTCAAGAATGCGCCATCAACCTTCCAGCGGTTAATGAATACTGCTCTCACAGGACTTCAAGGCATCAGATGCTATGTCTACTTAGATGACGTGGTCACGTATTCCCACGATCTGCCTTCTCACATAGATAATTTATCCCAAATTTTCCAAAAACTTCGAATGTTTAATCTTAAACTACAACCAGACAAGTGTGAATTCCTTCGACGTGAAGTCGCTTACCTTGGCCATCTAATCACAGAAAATGGCGTGAAGCCTAATCCAGAGAAGATAAGAGCAGTAGAAGAATTTCCTATCCCACAGAATCCTAAAGATATAAAATCCTTTCTCGGTCTTGTTTCATACTACCGAAGATTCATCCCTGATTTTTCAAAGCTAGCAAAACCACTAACCAATCTCTTGAAAAAGGACATACCCTTTGTGTGGGAAAACCAACAGCAGTTAGCATTTGAAAGTTTGAAAAATAAACTTACTTCAGCTCCTCTTTTGAGCTATCCAGATTTTACTCAACCTTTCATTCTGACATGCGATGCTTCTAATTACGCAATAAGCGCGATCCTGTCCCAAGGGAGCATCGGAAAAGATAAACCTATCGCTTTCTCATCACGCACTCTCAATAAACATGAGTGTAATTATAGCACTACCGAGAAGGAGTGTCTCGCCATCATCTTTGGTACTCAGACATTTCGCCCATATCTCTACGGGCACAAATTCACAATCGTAACTGATCATAAGCCTCTAAAATGGCTCTTCAATTGTAAAGATCCAGGTTCAAAGCTGGTCCGTTGGAGACTTAAATTAGAAGAATATGACTATAACATCGAATATAAAAAAGGAAAATGCAATAGTAATGCAGACGCATTGTCCCGATATCCTGTAAATAATGTAAATATCAATAGAATACTTACCAACGAAGTAACTCCTGAAGAATCTTCTGCATCTGAAAATTCTAATAATATACCTGTAAACGAGAATCCTAGTGAAGTACTTACCAATGAAGCTCCTAATGACTCTCCAGTCCAGCTAAATCCTGAAAGTCCCGGATTGATTGATTTATCTGAACTCCTTAACTTACCTAGTGGATTTAACGTTCCTGACGACTTCGATATTCCGGATGATCTTGATGCCATCCCTCTTACTCCTCCAGACGTCCACGATGAGGATACATACTCCAAATGTCTGAAAACATTAAATAATAAAACTTTTAATTCCAATGCAAAGATTGAAGAACATAATGAAAACTTGTTAAAGACTAAAATAAAAACGATTGTTATACCCACCTCTATAGACCTTGACGAATCTAATCATTATGTATCAGAAATTCTCGAAAATCAAATAGTAAGTGAAGAATTACTTTCTAGAGAGAGATCATTGCATTCCTTTTTACCATTCGAGTACAATGATATAAATTATTATTTCCTCTTCGTCAAAGTTCATTTCTTTGATAATAGCAATTATGATGATCTCTTTAAAAGCCTTAAAAACTTAAAATCTGACTTGTTATCAAAGAACATTAAAGAATTCTGCATAACTGACTTCAAAAACCAATTTGATGCTCACAACTTCCTTAAAATCTATAATATAATTTTGTATTTATTTCATGATACAAATATAACAGTACATATTTATAAAAATACAATAATCTATCCGACAACTGGTGAAGTCCCAAGAATCCTAAAAGAAAATCACGATATACCGATATCAGGCCACCTTGGTGGTAATAGAATGCTAAGTAGAATACAGGAAAAATATTACTGGCGCAACATGCGCAGTGATGTAGAAAATTATGTACGCAAATGCGAGCAATGTCAGACAAACAAAGCTTTAAGAAAAGCAAACCGTGCTCCAATGCAAATAACCACAACATCAACACAACCATTCCAACGTGTCGCCTTAGATATTGTAGGGCCTTTACCTGAAGCAGGAGGCAACAAACTTAAATTTATACTCACTCTCCAAGACGACCTGACCAAATATTCTGCTGGCTATCCAATGCCAAACGCTACAGCGGCAGAAACCGCAGAGTGCCTCATCCATTTCATCTCCCAATTCGGTATTCCAAAAACAATCTTAACTGACCAGGGCACGAACTTCACTGCTGAGCTTTTCAAACAAACATGCAATTTCCTAAAAATCAAACAACTTTGGTCTACGCCTTACCATCCACAAACCCAAGGCGCCCTGGAAAGAAGTCACTCGACATTAAAAGAATATTTAAAATCCTTCGTTAATGAAAATCAAACTGATTGTCCTCGTTATGTATATACAGCGATGTTGACATATAACACAACTGTCCATAGCACAACTAACTATACTCCATATGAATTGCTCTTTGGACACAAACCATTCATTCCTTCATCAGTCTATGATACTGCTTTAGAATCTACGTATAGTGATTATGTTCGAGTCCTGCAACAGAGATTGCAAATTTCAAGAGAAAAAGCCATAGAAAATATACTTAAGTCCAAAGTAACGTCAAAATCATACTATGACAAAAGAACAAGTCCAGCAAAATATAAAACAGGCGACATGGTATATATCAAAAACCATTTACGTCTTCGTAAAGCATTGTCCCCAATTTGGAAGGGACCATACAAAGTAGTAAAGATCAATGGTAACAATACACTCACTCTACTCATAAATCGTAGGCATGTTAAATACCACTATGACGAGATTAAACTGGCAGGGACTACATAGTCATTAATGTTAGATTTTACATTTATAACTTAGTTTTATTATTATTTTTTATTACTTCTTTTAATAGCATAGGCATCTCATTCATTTAGTTATTATTATTAGTATAATTTTTATTTTTATTATAATTCCTTAATCGTATTCCAGAATAACCGCAACATACTTTTGGATTGTCAACTCTCAAAACCATCAAGAGTACATCCATCAAATAACTTCAGGTTCTGGAATACACTTTGATTATCTAGGTACAGTTAGGATTAAGACAAATAGGTTAAACGTCGTAATGCCCATAGATATTTCACACTTCACCATTCATTTAGAGAACATAAATTTAGCTCTTAAAACAGTAAGAAATCTGTGCCATGAAGGTAAATCAATGAAAAGCATTGAATGTGACAATATTCTACATCCATTAACAGCGCGTTATACTGACATTATTAAGGAATTTGAATCCATTTCTCATCTGCTAGAAAGGAAAATGAAGCGCAGTGCTTGGATAGGAGGAATAGGTAGCATAATTAAACAAGTATTTGGAAATCTAGATGAAAATGACGGTTTAAAATTTAATGAAGCAATAGAAGAAATACAAGCAGATGAGAAAAGGATAGCGTCACTTATGAAAGACAACATATTAATAACCACCTCAATAATCTCGTCCTACAATAAGACTTTACATCAAATTAAAGTAAACGAAGCCAATATGCATGCTGCAATAGATAAACTCACCTTAAAACTGAAGAATCTAACTATCATTGTAGATGATTTAGAAATACAATCTGAAATTAATTTTATATTCAATAGTTTAGAAACTACATTACTTACCTTATCATTCCAAATGGAGGATATAACCGATGCTGTCGTTCTGAGTGGGCAGAACGTTATTCACCCATCTGTAATCTCACCAACGAAACTACAAAATGAATTAGCAAACAACTATAAATACGTTCCAAATGATTTACAATTACCTGTAACCTTAAATATAAACACTATTAATATAATTGAAAAAATTTCAAACGTTTTATGTTATTATATAAAAAACAAAATTGTGTTTATTTTACAAATTCCGTTGGTAAATAACGAAGAATACAAACTATTCCAAGCCACGGCTTTACCTGTACCCCATAAAATTAAGACTTAAATAGTTTTAGTCTGATTATCCTTAATGCTAAATATATAATTTTAAGTAAAGACAATACTAAATATGTGAATTTACAAAACTTGAATCAATGTAACGAACTGTATCCCAGTCATTTTATTTGCCAAATTTTAAATACATATGTATCCGATGTAAAACCTAGTTGTGAAAGCAATCTTTTAACAAAAGTAGTCAACAAAATTCCTTCAAATTGTAAAACTAATTTTATCATTGGAAAATTAGACATATGGCAGTCGATATCCAACAATAGATGGATATTTATCCAATCAGACTCAGTTAAACTCACCTTAGATTGTCTAGATAGAAAATTATTTGAAATCAATATCCAAGGAGTTGGAATCTTTTTATTACCGAAAAATTGTATTGGTTATACAAAAAGTACCGTATTGTTTTCCCAACAAAACGATGTTTTGAATATTACATCACCTTTGTCTTTTACTGAATTTAGTCTGATCAACGATACTTGTTGTAATTTAGATAAGCTGCATTCTAAAATTGAGGATTGGCACCTCAATGAGTTACAAAATATAGATTTGAAAAATGTTAACTTAGACAGTAATAAATTAAGAGATATTGTAATAGATTTAGACAAAATTGAACAAAGTCCACACATTGTAAAATATAGTACTCAGTATTTCACTTTAACTATTTTAATTGTAATATTAGTAATAAGTTTTGGTTTATATAAATTTATAATTATGTTTATTAGACGCGGATGCGATATTCCTCGTGTTAGTTTAAAGAATAAGGAAAGATCCAAACCTTCTGAACCTAATATAGATTCCGATTTAGAACTCCGTGAGTTACCTCCTCAACCCTCGATCAGAATCATTAAATAAAATAAGATAAATTTTATAATAATAAACTTCGAAAACAATCTCGAAGTTTATTCTCAATGGGGGAGGTGTTACATCTAGAAAATGTTCCTGTAACTGCTGTGCCAACGATTTCCAGCTGACACAGCATTTTCAGGGCTTTGTGCATCGAGGACTGCCTCTCGCGAGTCAGTCTGCCACATCCCGCCGGTTCGGTCAGTCGCATCCACGGACTATTAACCCAGTATAGTTTTAGGGCTAAATAAATATTATTTTTTAAAAAGACTCTTTAAATCCTCAACCTAACAGTACCATCATCATCCACCCTTTTACGTCCCCACTGCAAGGGTTCAGGCCTTCCTTATCGATGGTTAAGGAGGATGGGCCATGACCCTCCCCGCTGGCCCAATGCGGATTGGAGGGTATTAACGACTGCAAAATCCAGCCAGGACCAATGGTTGAACTTGCCTTCCGAAGCACGGAGTAGCCCGAGATATTACATTTTTGGTCACCCATCCCGCGACCGACCCCTGTGAAAGTAGCTAACCAATATCGAGCGTGGGCCGCGGTGTTTATCCACTATAAGCTTCGTGTATAAATTTATATTCGTGTCGTAGAGCGGAAGAGGAGCGGTCGTCCCGTTTGCGCTCGGAACTGGTCACTATGAGAGAAGAATTGAACAAAACATCACTTTGTCGCGATCTGCTAGACCAGCAGAAGACGGAGTCTGACTCTATACTGTCGCAGTTGGAGAAACATAGAAGTGAGTATAATTAACAACAGATAAACGTACATGTTACTTGCTGCTCCTGCGTCTTCTGAAATGTCATCATAAAACGCAGACATCTCATCGTCTTCTCCCTCTTTTAACGACCTCCGTAGCCGAGTGGTTCGCACGTTGGTGTCAAGTTGTCGTCATTGAAAATGAACTTTTCTATATCGTCTCGAGTCTGGGTGTTGTGGTCAGGTACCACAGTGTTCTCAGATACTTCATAATACAGGGTCTTTAGCTTTAGCTACTCATCTTGGTATCTGAACAATGTATGTGATGTTGTCTTATTACTTACCTACTTATAGATCATGGTAGCTAGACCGCCGAGGGTCTTAGGTGTGAGTTTGATGAACATCAACTGCTTTTCTCTTCTTATTGAGCTCATTGCGACTGCAAAACCGAGAACTTAATAAGGAACATTTTATGAACATTTCATACTGCAACAGTTTATTTTGTGTGGTCTCCGTCGTCTCAGATACTCTAAATTAGAACACATTTTCATCTTTATCGATAGTTGAAAGATTTCTTTCGGCCTTTCGGCTTTTGTTGTTGTCTTAATGGACGTTGTCTAAAAATGTAATGAAGCGTTAAATTAATGTAAATGTAATGTTGTCTTAAATTTATTTAAGGTGTAGCCGATTATAGACACCTCGTAACATTTATTCATGAATTTTTTGTTGTTTTCTCACAGACGAGTTGGAGATAGAGTTAGAGAGGACGATAATGGAGAGAGGAGATCTACAGGAGCTGGTGGAGAAACTGGAGACGGCCGTCAGGAATCTAGAGGGTGATAAGAGGAAACTGCAGGACGACGTCAAACACGTGAGTTGACTTAATTCATCTTCATCATTAGCAGCATATTGATGTCGCCACCGCTGGGGCTTAGGCCTTCCTTTTGGTGAATGGGCCACGACCTACCACGCAGGTCCAGTGCGAATTAGTGGGTGTTAACGGCTGCACATACAGAATCAACAGGGATCAACGGCTCAGTGTGCCTTCTGAAGCAAGGAGGAGTTCGGGATAATAAATTTGGTCACCCACCGCAGACCGAGTACGCTAGCTACTACGCCATCGAGCTCCTTATCTTAACTTTATTATATCTAGATGAAATAATATATAGCTTATTTTACTCGCTAATAATGTGCTTTTATATTTGTGTAAGTATTTTTGTAATCGGTCAATTTTCATTGTATACCGTGTGATGATTACTAGAAATTACTGCCACAAGTTTAACCTAATATACTTTTATACTTGTTTGTGTGCGATTTTTTCCCAGTGAATCCTCGAAATTATTTATTTATATTTGCATATTTATTTAATTTGAATACGACTGTATTATAATGAAAATACTCTTATATTGAAACTTGAATAAACCGATGTAAAAGACATTAATATACGAAATATACTCTATACTCTTCGAACTACATACTAATATACTCTTCGAAAACTTTTAAAAATGTAGGAAAAAATATTTCTAAAATTTAGCTTAAATACCTATGGCATTAAATTATTTAATAAAAAAAACGTTACAACTATAAACGCACAAATACAGAGATATTACAGAGATTGCCCAGACACCCGTGCATTTTTACCATTTCGTGGTTTGAATAGAGATGATGACCAATTTTTTTTTTTTGTATGGTCATCAGGTAAATTATTGAAGGATATTAAACACGTATTTTTTAATTTTTGCGTAATCAATAAATTATGGTTATTAATTGAGTTAAAATGTCACATGACTTTAAACATATACTATTTAAATTATGCGCTTCGGCTATATTCGTCAAGCTTCGGCAATCCTAATGTATTTTAAAGATATCTATATAGAGTTGTTATTACATAATTAATCATTTCGCTTAAATTTAGATTAGGTCAGCCAACTTAAAAATAATAGTATACTGTGTTTCTTGCCATCAGCTGATACCAAAATGAAAACCCCAGCTTAAAGAAAATCGAATTAAGATAAATCGGTTGTACTAACTAAATAAGTTTCTGACACAAATAAGTAGAACAGTTTTTTTAATAAAACAAAATTCACCAATTAATATAAATACCCGACATTTCAGACTCAGAATCATTATTGTCGCTGCTGGAAATAATCTATTCGAATGGTTATCAAACACAGGCTCAAATTACCGGTACTCATCCTCACACTTGATAGCATGATCACATACTTTCTTCCATTCGTCGGGTCCTATCATGTTAAATTTTTCTAATATAAGTTCTTTTTACGTGCCCCTTTATTTGGGACCAAATATTCTCGATGGGGTTAAAATCAGGATCATATGGTGGTAATAGTAAAACTGAATGTCCATGCTCTTGTAAAATTTTGTCAATGGTAAATACAGCCAAACTTTATTTTATGAGTCAATATAACTCAGGCTTCGTTAATGTAGGGTCAAAAGGAATATGGTTCCGCTCCAACCAAGCTATCATATCAGGTCGCCGTGTATAAGAATTAGGCGACTTAACCAATAACTGGTTATGGTACGGTGCATTGTCGATTATTAGCACACTGTTTGGAAGTAAATTGGGAATCAGTTCATTACGGAGCCAAGTTTGATATGTGTTTGCGTTTATTGCTTGATGATAAGATCAGAATCAGAATCCAAACATTGACCTATTAGTAATGCACCAGGTACAAAATCTTTCTCATTATCTGCATGTATGATAATAATGCGTTCACCTTTGGAAATCGGTTGTTTAACCCCTTTTATTATTTTTATCAAGCCGAGACTTGCCTTTTGTGTGAGAAGTATGAACATATGATTCATCCATGTATACAATATTTTTTCCGGCAGCTCTTAAAGCCTGTATTTTCTTAATATATTCAATTCTTTTTAGGCGTACAGCAGATAAGAATTTTTCTTAATGTATCTGCACATCCTTGGAAACCAATAGCGTCCATTAGTTTAATTTTTAAAGACTTTACAGTAGGAACTTCCTTAAATCTTGAATGAAAGACGTATACCATGTTTCTAATCACACTGTAATCAAAACTGTCCAGTTTTAACCTGAAATTCTTCTTTGGCCTACCTTTCTTAGGTGTGTTAAATGCAGATCTACCATTTTTTTCTTTGTCCCTTTTTAAATTTTTCAGAAATCGTCTGGATATGCCAGTGTTTGACCACGCGGTCTTTAACTTTATTAAAATATCCATTTTCAGACTTTTTAAAATTAGCTTCTGTTAAAAAGTACAGGTACACGTTGTATATTATTTCACAGGATTGACCGCTTATAGGTTTTCCTTTTTTCAAATTGCCTTGAAAATTATGTAGGAATAAATTAAGTACCTATATTCAAATAATGTAATTAGGCGTATTACAGCTTTATAAAATTCTTAATACTGAAATATTGCGTGCTGTTACTTCCATCACAGTCGAGGTACTGACGAGTTTTGGCGGCTAGGGGTATTTTCCGATATACACTGCGACCACTGAACAGTTTGACGTCAATTTAGTATACTGGAAGCCCGTTCCTTTATAGCTAGTTATACTGGTGACTTTTTAAAACGGAACGCAGTCCAGTATACTGTTAATCCTATTTTTTGGCGCCATTTTCAAATTTGTTAATGCAAGGTGAATATAAATATAAAGATTCCCTCTTTTCAAAAGAAAATTGGAAAATTGTATAAAAAAAAATTATCAATTCAATCCATCTTATAAATAAACGTAAGTATTTTTTTTTGTTTATTTTACTTTATGACCACCTCAGTCGGGCGGCAGATTACGCGCAGGAGCAGTATCCTAACGCAGAACTGGTTTTCTTGGGGGACTTCAACGCTCACCACGAATCGTGGTTAAGTTCCTCCAAGACGGACCATGCGGGGAGATCAGCCCACGCATTCGCTCTCACGCATGACTTGACTCAAATGGTCGATCAGCCCACCAGGATCCCAGACATAGTCGGTCAAACGCCTTCCTTACTGGACCTTCTGCTTACGAGCCATCCCGTCGGTTATCAGGTTGATGTTCGTGCCCCACTGGGCAATTCCGACCACTGCTTGATATCCACCAAAGTGCCGCGAATCGAGCCCCCTCAACCTCCGAGGACTCGACGACGCGTATGGCACTATGGCTCAGCGGATTGGGACGGCATGCGCGAGTACCTTGCATCCGTTCCTTGGAAGCAGCGCTGCTGTAGTGAGAAGGATCCGACAACGAGCGCCGTTGCTATTACTGAGGAGATCGGTATTGCTATGGAATACTACATTCCGCACTCCGATCTGATCAGTATGGGCAAACACAACCGCTGGTTCAATCGCGATTGTGCTAACGCTGTTGCATCTAAACAGCTGGCATATCGAGCTTGGATCAGGGGTCGTGCTCGGAGGGATCCCGATATCGACTCAATAAAAGCAGCCTACAATCAGGCTTCCAAGTCCTGTAAGAAGGCTTACATCAGAGCGGATGCCCAGCGCGTCGCACGTATTGGCCATGAGCTAGTTACGCACCCTACGGGCTCCCGTAGCTACTGGCGCCTCGCCAAGGCCGTGCAAAACAATTTCTGCCAGCCCTCGCTGCCACCGCTTCGATGTCCAGATGGAACATTAGCTCACAAGCCGCAGGAGAAAGCCGACCTCTTGGCAAGCCTCTTCGCGGCTAATTCCCAAATCAATGACTGTAATGCACTGCCACCAACGTTACCTTCTAGTGGCTTCACTATGCCTGATATTCATATCAGGCAGCGTGATGTGTGCGTGTGAACTACAGTCACTCGATGTCCGGAAAGCTAGTGGTCCTGATGGCATTCCTGCGGTTGTTCTAAAAATGTGTGCAGCGGAGTTGACTCCTGTACTTACGCGCCTATACCAGCTATCTCTTTCTTCGGGTCGTGGACCTGAGGCTTGGAGAGAGGCCATTGTGCAGCCAGTGCCCAAAAAGGGAGATCGGTCAGACCCTGCAAACTACCTCCCTATAGCTATCACCTCTGTGCTGTATAAAGTCCTGGAAAGGATTATTAACTCCCAACTGATCCGATACCTAGAAGATCACTCCCTTGTAAATGATCGTCAGTATGGCTTTAGACCAAAACGATCAACTGGTGATCTTCTAGCGCACGTCATGCACCTCTGGGGTGAAGCTATCGACAAGCGCGGCGAGTCCTTGGCTGTCAGTCTTGACATTGCTAAGGCATTTGACAGGGTTTGGCACAAGGGACTTCTCTCCAAGCTTCCGGCCTACGGTCTGCCCGTTCAACTCTGCACCTGGATAGCCGACTTCCTGCGTGAGCGTAAAATCCGTGTTCTTTCTGACGGATGCTCTTCACAGCTTATGTCAGTCAACTCCGGTGTGCCTCAGGGCTCCGTTCTATCCCCTACACTTTTTCTGCTGCATATCAATGACATGCTTCCACTTGGAAATATCCATTGCTATGCAGACGATAGCACAGTGCATGTGGGATATCACGGGGCTCCTACAGTCGGACGGGCGGAAATCCTGGAGAAAAGGGAGAATCTTGTCATTGAGCTCAATCACGTTCTGGATCTCATATCGAAATGGGGTGCTGAAAATCTGGTTGAGTTCAATGCCAAGAAAACTCAGGTTTGCGTATTTACCGCCAAGACCCCTCCATTCCCTTCCCTTCCCTCTCTTCAGGACACAACCTTGCCTCTACAGAGCAGCATCAACATGCTCGGGATGGAAGTGCGCTGTGATCTGAATCCCAAAAACCACATCGAGTCCGTTATTAAAACAGCATCTCGTAAACTCGGTGTCCTGAATAAGGTGCGGCGTTTTTTCACGCCTGAACAACTGTGCCTGCTATACAAAACGCAGGTCCGGTCATGCGTGGAGTATTGCTCGCACCTTTGGGATGGCTCCGCTAGGTACTTACTCGATGCTTTGGATAGATTGCAGCGCCGCGCAGTACGCATTATTGGCAATGGTGAAGTCACCAAGAACCTAGAAAGCCTGCAACTGCGCCGAGACGTTGCTTCGCTCAGCGTCTTCTACCGTCTCTACCATGGTGAATGCTCTGAAGAACTCTTTTCGCTTATCCCTCCATCTCCCTTCCTCCTCAGGACCACACGTGCTGGTTTGCGTTGCCACCAACTAACTGTGGCAGCGATTCCTTCGCGTACAAAGAAATTTGGCGTGTCATTTCTTTGTCGTACTACCAAAAAATGGAATTGTCTCCCGGCCCATGTATTCCCTCCTTCCTATGACATGGGGTCCTTCAAGCGGGGCGTGAAGAAGCACCTTGCAGGTCGGCAAGGTGAGGTTGGCTAGTGCAGTACCTACGTACTGTTTTCACTAGCTGTCCTCACGTTTGGACTACGCCTCCGCTTACCATCAGGTGGAGCGCAGTCATTTGCCCTCCTATACATAAAAAAAAAAAAGAAACTTATCATTTTCTGATTCTGTTTCGACTGATCACGTGATCAAAAGCACTGCCAGCACCTTACCTCGAAATCTCCAGTGCTCACGGTACAAATATGGCGGCAATTTATGACGTCATAAATTTCCCTAGGGTACTGGTGCAGTGTACTGGCAGTCCATAATGGAACGGATTTTTCAGCAGTTAGACCACTGCGCAGTGCTCGCAGTGTATATCGGACCATACCCTAGAACGACGATCACACATTGGTTTCTTGGTCGGTTAAATTCGTAAACACGAAATATGCCGAGGCGCATAATTTAAATAGTATATGTGTACGTTTTTGTACATTTTATACACGGTGACTTAGCTAGCCTCCACACTTCAACTATAACGCTTGTTATCTAAGGTATTTTTTGCTAAAATGAAGAAAAAAAAATACGCGTTGAACATTTTTCTATTATCTGATTAAATCGATTTTTTTTATCCTGGCATCTATAAGGAGAATTTTTAGCCAACTAGCAGCAGTTTGAAAAACATAGCACGTCTGAAACTATTAATAGCAGACTACAACTACATTGTTTCTCAAATATTAACGGATCACTTATAAAAAATAGTATACTAGCGTTATTTTCTTCAATTTACATTTGTAATCAGATATTGTGATTTTGTATATAAAAAGTATTAAATTCCATCATTAATGTTCACCATCTGGTGTGCAGCTGGAAGACGAGAAGAGTTCTCTATCGAGCCAGTGCTGCGAGCAGCAGGGCGACCTGAGCGCGCTGCGCAAGGAGCTGCTGGCGGCCGAGCAGGCGCGCCTCGACCTGGAGGCGGACAAGGGCTCGCTCTGCGAGAAGATCAACTTCCTGGACCACGAGCGGGAGAAGGTCGAGCTGGAGCTGAGACAAGTCGTCAGGTGACTACAATGGGGTGTTTGGCTAAATCTTCTTGCCCCAGGTACTCTGTACCGGGTGGATGGGAATCGAATCCATGATCTTTCGCAATCCGGGCGCCTGGTCTAACCACTACCCGGGATTTAACAGGAATGATGAATTATTCAAGCCCATTACTTTTTCGCATTTTTATTATTACAGGGTATTTTCATTATTGTTCAGGCAATCCACCCAAACAATTTTTCATTAAGAATATTTTTCGGTATGGCACTGTGGATGCAAAAATGATCAAAATTCAATAAATATTTTTGAATTATTCTTTATTCTATTAATATTTTGAGGATATTTACTGTATTTATTTTCAGTTCCAATTTTCGAAACCGTGTTTTCGTAGCGGCGCCATTACGCCGCTTATGACATCACAAGCAAATTAAATAAAACATCGTCAATTTTTTTAAATATTTTAAATATTAATAAGAAATATCATCTTACTAAGCAGTGAACATCATCATCACACTGACATTTCAGGCAGCTCATTCAGTTAGAGTAGTCGTCGGTTTTGGAAATTTACGGCGGCAACTAACGAATTTTTGAAGTTTTTTTTTATAAGAATTAGTTAAGAATCATTGGATCGGTTCACATGCAGGGAGCGAGGAGAGCTGAGCTCTCAGCTGACGGCGATGGTCCGCAAGAAGGACGCGCTCAACGAGGAGATGATCCGTCTGCAGCAGCGGCTCGAGCAGGCCAACGAGACCATCGGCCGACTCAACCGCGCGCTGGAGGACCACGTCAAGGACGCCGAGGAGAAACAGGTCACCCATCATACGCGTGACCACACTTAATTAACAACACTTAACCCATATTTTTATAAAACGAACAACTATGGTATCAGAGTGCTTAATGTGAGTTTCCTTTTACGTTTACGTTTACCGTCGAGTGCTAAGATTTTAGTATGTAATCCATTGCGGCGCCTCTAGCGGTAAATACTGAGAATTGCACTACTCCGTACAAATTTTTAACGCGCTCACTAGTGAATGCATTAACGTAAAAATTACACTTTAGGTTTAAACCATGGTCCGAACAAAACAAGTTAACTCGACACATCTTTCTGCTTTAAGTGGCCAATAAATACTTTAAAATACAACCGAGTACAAAACCAATTGTAACTTTAATCTTCGTTTTATAATAGACTACAATAATTTTATCATTATCTCATAGTCTATGAAAATAGTTTAAATGGTTTCATTTTCTAAATAAACGATACTTAATTATATCAATAATTTTGAAATGAGTCGTCTGAGATATGAAATATTTCAATCAGTATAAAAAATGCAACTATTGGTAATAGATATTATTCTATTATCTATGGTCGCATGGTTGACAGATGTCAATCAACTACATTTCCATTTATTTAACAATAGATGAAAATGTTTACTCATAATACCAATTTGATTGGTTTTACGATGATTTGTCACAGATCCTCATAGACAATCTGGACAAAGACCGACAACACTTGCAAGAGCAACTGGCCAGCGTCCGATCTGAGAAGGACGCGTTGGAGGCCGTGTTGTTCGATACCGCCAACATGTTGGAAGACTCGGACAACAAGAGGAACAAACTCGAACAAGAGCTGCAGGAGAGTCTGGTGCAGCAGGAGAACTATAAAGGTTAGAATTGTAGATGGAATACGTATAGAATTAGAGATTGGCATTTTTTATTTAATTTGAAAAGTTAATCATCTAATATGCCATATGCATACGATAAAAATTAGAATACCTCTTAAGAAAGTGCGAAATATGTTTTAAATTTAATAATTTAGTTGTTACGTTTATTGTAAAGTATTCTCCTGGTGATATTATCTCATACGATTCTTAAGGTTTGCTAGCTTATGACGTCATAATGGTATTTCTATCGTTGTTTAATTAAGATTTTAAATTTTAATTCTTCAAAGAACAGTCGGCATCAATATTGCAAATTTTACTCAAAGCACAGTTGGATAAAATATAATCCTTATTTAATAATTTCATCTTAATATATTCATTCTGGGTTGAAGATTACCTATTACATTATTATACTTCTATGGGTAGCTTGGTGGCATATTTTTTATTGTTAAACAACTTTGCAAGAGTCGTTCATGGGATGGGTGACCAAAAAATTATCTCGAGCTACTCCGTGCTTCAGAAGGCACACTAAGCCGTTGGTCCTGGCTGTATTGGCAGTTGTTAATATCCTCCAAACCGCACTGGGCCAGCGTGGAGGGTCACACCATCCTCGATCTATAAGGAAGGCCTGTTCCCGTTCAGTGTGGAACGTAAAAGGGCAGATGACTAAGATCCTTATATAGTATGCGATCTATTTGATCCTGGGATTGGGTATGTAAAGTGTGTCTTGACCTCCTTCGTTTTCTAAATTTTACCACTTTCGCATTGTTAAATAAAATATAGGGAATATTCTGTTGTTTTAAAGGTCAAATCGCTCGACTCGGCAAGGAGCTGGAGAACAGTGAGAAGAAGTTGCGCGACACCCGCAACAGTCTGCAGCAGCAGGCCGGCAGGAAGGAGGCTGAGTACCAGCAGCTGATCGCCAACCTGAACCGCACCTCTACTGACAACATCACCAAGCTCAAGGAGGAGAAGGTACGAGGTGTCCTTGTCCTTTGAATGTAGATAGTAAACGGAAATAAATAAATTTTATATTTTCCTGATTACCGATAATCGCACTTTTAAACTTATTATATTTATAATATTAAATATATGATAATATAATATGAAATATAATATTAAATATATTACTTAAATGATTTATGAAAAAAAATATACTTGTTATCGCGAAACCGCATACAGCAATGACGTCACGCCCCTCTTACTTGTATCAAATCTTAGAGAATATAACCTTATACGTAAATAGAACTATATTTGTTTCAGAGTCCGTTGACGTTATAGCAACGCCATGACATTTTGAAAATTCAATGATATTTTTTAAATATTTATTGTAGGTATATTTCATGTAGGTATATCTATAAAATAAAAATATTAAAAAAAAATTGTCTACACCCCTAATGAATGACTTAAGCGATAAAGTGAGATTAAACGAACTAAACAAGAATGAACTCATTTCATGAAATGAAATTACTGATATAAGTGAGATGAAAGAATGAACTGAAATGATTGAAATGAGTAAGATAAGTTAGAAAAGTACCTGACATAAACGAACTGAAACAATAAATAGAATGACTGAGATGAAAAGAATGAAAGGAAAGAGAGAGACGAATGAAATTAATCAATAAGGATTTCTGTGTTAAAGAGGGAATCACAATTTGTCGAACTATTTTCTAAATGTAATATATTTATCTATATATAATTTATTTACATGTTTAGGAGCAACTTCGACAGTCTTTGGAGCAAAAGCTAAATCAAACGATAGCAACACTTACGAGTGAAAAAGAATCATCTGAAGCTAGTGCGAGGGAAAGAGAGAAGAAACTGCTGGCGATTCGCGACCAACTTATACTGCAACACGACGAAGCAATGCTCAGGGCTGAGAATGATAAACAACAGGCTCTACTTATGGGTAAATCAGGAACATTACTTAGTCATAATTATCTTTCTAGTTTTATTAATATACAGAGTGGACCCAGGTCCATGGAGGAAACACATGGAGTGTTACAACCCACTCCTTCCCGTTTGTTTGTACTGTAAGGTCTAAAAACTCCTTAAAATGCTCCGTGGAGAGGTGAAATACGTGTAGAACGGTAATTTTGCGAGATTTGCTACCGTTTGTACATGTGAATTTGTGTACTGGTAGTACATAGCAGGTCTTTGGATACTGACTGGGTGTGGAAATTACTAGATATCGTAGTGTCACGGTTATAGTAATAATTTTGGTCAAACATCTGTTGATAGTTCTTCACAAAAGTTGATAGTTCTTCTTGTAGTCGCAGATTAAGCTCGCTAAGCCTTGTACCATTGGAAATGATACTGTTTCTTAACTCAGAAACAGTGTCATTTTACTACCATCACTAGGACTAACTAAATAGTGAGAATAAAATAAATTATTTATAAAATATATCTCTCGTGATCGTTGCCAGCCATTGGACTGAGCTTATACCTACTGGCAGTGAAGTGTATTAATCCCAACACAAATGTATGTGAAATATTCATCAATGACTCGTTGTCAAGACTAGCGTAGGAACCGTGCGCGCCATTTCATAAAAGAGCTAGCCGTCCATTAGAACGTTTTAACCAGTTGGCTGCGACATTTATATTTTACAAGCTGCCCGTATATTAATCATAATGTCCTCATCATTCACTCGGTCGTCGCTTTCTCCGTTAGCTCATCAGGAGCAGCAAGCTCTAATAGAGCGTTACGAGGAAGCGAAGCGTTCACTCGACTGCGAACAAAACAAACTGGAGCGACTGCGGCGGGAGGCGCAGGCCAGGGCCGACCAGGACAGGACGTACGTCAACCAGCTCAAGGACGAACTAGCCGCATTCAAGACCAGGCTAGAGGAGGCCAAGTGAGTCGACACAAATACAATACATACTAGTGGTACTCCCCTGGCATTGAGAACTCTTTGCATACACGTTCACCGATTTTTAGGGTGCCGTACTTAAAGGGTAAAAACGGAACTGCTGTCCGTCTCTCTGTCGACAGATTTTATATCATGAGCCGTGAAAGCTAGACAGTTAAAGTTTTCACAGATGATGTATTTCTGTTACCGTTGAAACTCAAAATGGAATAAATAAATATTTAAGGGGGTCATAAATATTTAACAAACATGTTATTTTATAGATAACAGTACGGCGTGAGGCCCGACTCGCACTTGACTGTTTACGTATATACCGACACTGCACTAGGGTCAATCCAGTTGTATCGCTCTTTAAAATAAATTAACTAAAAATCTTTAATTAGGGTTCCATTTATCGTTGTTCTGTTACCTTCAATGAAAATAATATTTATTTATACAAGAGAATTATTACCGATATATTTTAGTTTTTTTTTTCCGTTTTACAATCTTGTCAGCATCTGAAACGCCACTGTCCACGAAACGAAAATATCCAATCGTTCTTATAGTTTTCTTAAAATCATATTCGTGAAGATTACCGGTGCACCAAAGGCAGTTTAAAGTGTTACTTCTGTGTCATTAATTTATCGAATAATGGGTTTCTTAGGAGTCATTACCGTCACTAAAACAGACTAAATTTCGTTTTCAAAGATACAGAGTAGGCTTCCTTAATATGTTAACATATTTGGTTAAAAGGGAATGGAACAACATTTTAATAAAAAATAATTGTGTGGTGGTTAAATAGGTCATAAAGTTTAATAGTAGTTTATGCAACTGTTATATAAGAAGGGGTGTTAAAACACGAGAGTCTGTTTTTGTTGCGATAATAGGTTGACTCGAGTGTTTTAATACCCAAGTTATATGCAATTTCATACACTATTTATCTTCACTTATATTTTAATAATTTGAATTATGCGGGAAGCGCGGGAAATTAAGTTCAAACTACGCATGCGTGCGCCATTTTTTTACACTTCGAACTGCGCATGCGTGCTCCTTTTTTACATATTCAGCCTAAAACAATAGACTAGTTTAATAAAAAAAGATAGTGGTACTATAATGAGTTTTATGATACAGTTGGCGGTACTATAATGTTTTATTTTTAATTTTATGTATATGCGTTTATAAAGTGCGTTTAGGATCGTCTTGGAATTTGTAATTCGAATTATTCGATTTGAGTGTAGATAAATATTATTTTGTTAAACAACAATGATTTGTAGTCTGTGTTTTACGTCAAACGAAATATCAATCAGAGCGCTTGACGTAAAATCTAGAAAAAGCACGAGAAAAGTTCAAATTGTTTGCGGGAAACTCCTGATTTTTTTTATGATGTGAATTTTCTACATATTACAGCGGCCATTTTTGTGTTTTATAAAAACGGCATATGATAATTATTTACTCTTTATTGAAAATCCCTTTTGTTTACCCCGTAAATGACGTCACATAATAAGTCTTATTTACATAAATTAAAAACATTTTTTTTTTAAGTTGTCCGTTCCCCTATTAGTCTTAGTCGTTTAATTTGTGTTAAGGGTGGCCGCGGAGGACGAAGTGGCCAGATTGGAGAATCGTATAAAAGAGTTGCATCTGGAGAAGGAGGCGGTGGGCCGCGAGTGCACGGAGACTCGCGCGCACCTCGCGCTGGCCGAGGACAAGTACGACAACGCGTACGCGCAGCTGCAGGACGCCATGCGGAAACTGAAGGAGTGTCAGTACTGATGCTATTAGGCTATTGTGTGGATCACACCGTTTCGAAACGTGTTTAACGTGCTTAAGGCCCCTTGTACCTTCGCTTACGTTCCTTTACTCCCCGCAAACGAATACACATCGACAGTAAAGACGCGCTCGCTTGATTTCATACGCTTTTAGAAAAACACAAATGCAGTTATAAAAAAAATGTTGATCATTTTAGATAATATTAAAACTTTTAAACTATCGCTCTGCATTATTTCATACTTATAATAACGGGTTAGTCGTGCAGTAGCGCAGGTCAGAGTAAAAGTCGCGTTTAATACCCGTTGATAATATTAAAAATGTTTGTATATATATTTTTGGGTCGTAAAATGAAATACATAAGTCATAAAATCGACCCAATTACATATTTAGTCATATTTGCATTTTTTTTAACATATGTTTCTGTTTTCTTTTTCCAACAATCGGCGAAAATTGGTTTAAAAACTGGCAATTTCGTAATATGATTGATTTTTCAAAATTGGTTTTTAGCGAACTTCTATTTTATATTATTAGTGTATCAAATTTCAGCTCGGTCTATCCAGCAGTTTAAATTTGTGCGTTTATATATCAGTCAATTATATTTGCCTCTTATATTTGCTTTATATATTGCCGCATAATAGATACAGGTTTCAGTTTATTTTTATTCATATTTTGCTTACAATTTATTTGCACGATAAGAAACTCGAGCGTCGCCTCTTGTTTCACTAGATGCACCCAAGGGTGGGGATGAGGGCGGTGTTAAAACGTATCGCCCGCTGTGCACATTACCTTTCTTACCCACTATGACTATGCAAATAACAAACCATTAACGTTGCATCAAAACAGATAATACATAAGCGACAACAGATTTTGAAAATTAACCGCTTTCGTATACATGCGTCGGCCGACAGTAGAAAACGAAGCGGACAGCCTCCGCAAGGAGCTGACGGACGTGCGCCGGCAGCTGAGCAACTGCAGCGCGGAGCGGGACAAGCTCAGCAGCAGCGGCCGCGACCTGCGCGACCGCCTCAAGCGCGCCGACGCCGAGCGAAGAGACGCGGCGCGCGTAAGGGACGACGCCTACCGCAAGATCGCCGGTACGCACTCGCTGTACGCGTGCCTCGGTGGCGTACAGGATAGGGTCGGCCACGGGATGGGTGACCAAATAATTATTACCTCGAGCTCCTTCGCATTTGCAGTCGTTAATACAATCGCATTGGGCCAGCGTGGAGGGTCATGGCCCATCCTCTTTAACCATCTGGAAGGCCTGAGCCCCTGCAGTGGTGACGTAAAAGGTTGATGGTGATGATGTACGGAACGCCCGTGACATGAATACTGATAAATTGCTAAAATAATAAAATTGTTATAGTCTGATAAAAGGGGTATATTTGGAAGTTTATAACACTTATTAATTATAATGATTAGTAGAACGCGAGGTCGATGACCGAATGCGAACCGATTTTGTGCTATACAACTTTGTGCAACGATGTAAATATATTTAAGGTTGACTTAAAACTGATGATTCTAGGGATAATGTTATGTACGTAGCTTGCTCGTACAATGACTAATAGGGATGACGACTAAGTAAAAAAAAACTATTTAGTCCGTCACTAAGATAAAAAGAAAATATTAAAATTTTTATTTTTTTGTTTCAATTTAATCAAAAAAATGGATTAAACAATAGGCATTATAGTTGAGGAATGGGGGCTGGCTACGTCACAGTTTTGTAAATGTACAAAATCATGACGTGATTTCTTTCGACATTTCAACTATATGTATAACCGTAATTTATTAATTACCTGACGGACAAACAAACAAAAATTAGTCGCCATCCCTATAAATAGTAAACAATCATACCTATGGTTAGGTACTATATAATATACATTGTTAAAACCAACATTACACAATGCACATCAAAACTACCTACTGTGTATACTATCATCATTAGAAGAGTTGAAGGATATATACAACATATTTTAAAGGTTATAATAGCATCGGCAGAGATTATTACCACAAGTAGAGGATTACCACAGAGTGTCGATAAATATAAAATAATGTTCGAATTAGAATAACGTGTCACTTTTATTTTTACTGTGCTCATTTTTCATGAAAAGGACTCGAAGAAAACCGTACCTCGTTAGAAATGGAATTAAGTCGAGTACAAAATATGCTGAAGGAGTCTGAAAGTGGCGGCGAACACGTTACTAGAGAACTGAAGACTACCGAAGCTCAGCTGAAGAGGGAACGGGCCGCGTTGGAGCAAGCGCAACATGACATCAAAGAGCTACAGTCCAGGTAAATAAATTCATTACAGTCAACAGCACATAATTTTATATAATAAAAAAAAACACTCGATTTTGAACCCTAATACATTGGTAATAGAGTTGAGAATGAATTGCGATATTTTGATATATTGTGGTTACTTGACGTGATGCTGCGTGTATACACAAAAAAAAGACATTATGCTATATATCGGTAATTTTTTATTAACCTGTTAATATCGCCACTGCATAAGCACATGCCTCTATGGATGGAATCGTCCACTTTGTTCCCGGTACTCTGACATGGGATTCGAACCCAAAGCATACACAATTCGGGCGACTGCTATAACCACTGAAGTACCGGGTTATATTTCTCTGTATATACGATCTGAAGTAGCGAAAAAGTAACTACTATTTGAAAAATTCGGCGGTCCTGTTAGGTTCTGGGTAGCTCAGTGGTTAGAGTAGCCCAGATTGCGAAAGGTCATTGAGTCCCAGAGTACTAGGGACAAAGTGGATTTCTTTAGTGTTTTTCATTAAGAACATTTGTCAATATAGCATTATGAATGCAAAATTGATCAAATATATTAATAAATTTATGTTAGTCTTTGTACATATTTGCGTTAAATTATCATTGATAATATGTTCGAAGACGTCGCGATTAATCGAAAAAAAGCCTTCCTGTGCTGATTTTATCAAGATTTAATCTTGACACGATCTATTTTTTTTTTATTAAATTAAACGTGCCTAACGTCGATGAGGATACATAAATGTCATTTTAAACAATGACATCATGGCCTCTCTAGGTTAATTTTACGGTCACGTGACTCACAGTTTAAATATCATAATTCTTAAATGACAAAGTTATTTGAAGTTCGTAATTTTTTTTATTCAATGTGTTTTTTGTTAGATCGTTTTATCAAAAAATATTGTGATCGATTACACATCTCATATAATTATTATAAGTCTACATTTAACTCCCTGATTCCTGCTTTAAGACATTACGTGACATTATTTGTTCGTTTCTCTATCGGGCAATAAAAGAAATCTTTAATTATCCATTAAATGAAACATTTCTAAACTGTTACATCGCGTTTGTATTTTCATTTTCATTACGTTTCGGAAATGCGAGCGCGATGAAACCGTTTTTAAATTAGTTTAATTTAAACGGTGATCAGATTGCAAAACGAGAGTGAAGAGCGCGAGCGGTGCGCGAGCGAGGCGGCGGCGGCGCGGCGGCGCGGCGGCGAGCTGGAGGCGGCGCTGGGGGGGGCGCGCGCCGACCTGGCCGCCGCCGCGCAGCGCACCGCCGACCTGGAGGAGGCGTGCCGCGCGCGCGACCAGGTGCGGGCTTTATTTTCTATGGCTTCGCACGGTTTGCACGTGTAGCCAAGTATCAAGTAAATAATTTTTTCTTCCATTGTAAACACCGAAAGTGAGTCTTTAAACACGTGTTAAATAAAAATGTACTGAAATCCTTTACTGCACACGTGCTTAAAATTTCTTTTTTGGCCGAGCACCAAAGAACTTAAAAAAAAATATTTCAAGGAGCCTAGAACTGAACATTTTCAAATAAAAATGTATGACACGAAAACATTGAACATTGAACATGTTTTCGTGACATTGAAATATCACGTTTAATTTTAATAAATAATTTTTACCTTTAATACATACTTAGTTTTATTAACCTATATTAAAAAATGTTGTTAGAAACTTAAGCGTAAAAGGTTTTTCGAATTCGTGCCAATGAAAACCCTCGCTGCGCTCGTGTTTTCAATTTGGCCCTTATTCGTAAAACCTTACTTTCCGCACTCGTATCTTAAATAACTATTATCAAGTTTTGCCCAAATCGAGTAAGACATAGTCCGTCCGTCATATCAAGAGCTCAGGTATAGTGGTGGAACAACACCAAAACCATGTCAAACGGAGTAGTGGAGCAACACAAGTTATCACAACAACGTAATCGAGTTTCACATTCCCTACATTAGTGCACTTTCACTATACTAAATTGAATAAAACGCCACTAAAATTACGCAATTTAAGTCGAATTTAACAGTATTTTTCAGAACATGGAACCCGAACCACAAGCTGCGTTATCAAAATCCCGCCATTTCTCAAAATCAAACCTTTATTTGTTTAAACATGTCTCATGATACATAGTGTCTAAACATTTTATTATAATAAGGATAAAAAATATATTTGAAAATATCAATTACAGCAAACTTAAATATAGTTATAGCAAATTTGAATAAATAAAATTACTCTATTCAAGACTATTTAAATTTTCAATTTTAGATCTAATTGACATTTTTAAGTATATATTTGTAATTTTTATTAATCCTAATTTTAATTAAAAATTTGATAGGGACCAAAGCGTATTAGTAAATATGTTAAATTTGTATTACTAGATATGTATAATATAGGTCGGGACGCTTATCCACTACGTCAAGAGTTACGAAATAGGTTTGGTTAGTTAAAAGCTACAATCGAATTAGCATAGATTAACAACCAGCAAAACCTTATACAATTACTAATCATTCCTTTAAATAAATATGATATAATAGTTGGCGTTGAAAATATCTGTAACTTTTTCCGTAAAACAGTAAAGTTCCTAAAACAAAAATATAATATTACATTTTCGTCATTTCAATAGGAATTAGTACTTCGTTTAGAAGATTGCCGTTCTAAGGAGCGTAGACTGGAAGAGTTGAAGCACAACCTCGAAGTGTGCCTCGCTGATGCTACACAACAGATACAGGAACTGAAGGTGATATTCTATTACTTGTTTTACTTCTTACAAAAATTGCATATAATTTTTGTTACACTGCGCATAGTATCATATCATAATTTGTGTATTTTAATATTTTTCCTGAATTATTTTGAACCTATCAATTAATAGAAGAATGATCACTCTTTTACATAATATTTAGAATTTCATTTTAATTTTAGCCACTTATCCTGATTTCATTCATTTTTTTTATTATTTTGCCTTACTTAACACAGATGTCTTTGAATTTTTTTTTCTAATACATAATACAATTGTATCGTAATAAAACAATTACAATCCAGGCCCGGCTAGGTGGCAGCGAAAGTCGTTGTCGCGCATTAGAAGCGTCATTAACACAATGCGAGAGCGGCAAACGCGAAGCGGAAGCGAAACTGTCGTCTATTGCTCACACGCTGCGGAGGGTCTGCGGCGTGCAACCCGACGGGTCCGTGCACGCCGCCGCCAGGAGGAGACTCGCCAGCCCCGCCAGGAGATACAGCCCGCACAGAGGTACACTTATATATGTATAAGATAGGATCAATTTTTCTTATAGCACAACACAATGTGATTCATCTAAAACAGAGTATTTTATTTATTAAACACAAATAATTTTTACATTAAATATAGCAAATGAAAAAGTTTCTAACCTAAAACAGAGAATCGACAATTAAATGTTCATGCCTTACTCTTCTTATTACTTAACTTTATGGTCTTCTGCACAATAAATGAATACAAAATTCACAAACTTATCTTGAACATATCTAAACTTCATCTATAAATGGCTTCCTCCTTTGACACAGACTCATGTAATTTATCTTACGTTTACACACAGACTACTGCACTAATCCGCAGGTACTCAAATTAATGTCCATGTCATATTCATCGTCACAAAGCTTATAAACTGTCGTCTAGAACCGGACGGTTTTTTACAGCTTTGTAACTTCAATACTTAATAATTTATCGTTTCCATAGGTATTTTTAAATAATGTAACATAGTTTAGTTAGTCTCACTATGGACCCTGTCGGGTACAACAATAATGGAAAAGAGGAGGAGCACTAGTTTTGATTATAAATTTTCAATTTCGCTTATGTTATAATTTAAACATAAATATATTATTTTCTTATATTTAGTATTATTAATTATTGTTATTAATCATCCATTCATTCATTCTTAATATATATTAATTACTTCTCTACAAAATATGTATAATATTTATTAAAAATTTTAACTATAAACAAGCTGTGTTAACACATCTTTATCGTTAATCTCCGCATACAATATACAAGAAGTACTTTTTTCTTGAAAACGTGTGTGTTTCATAGTAACGAACTTAATATGATAATTTGTGCACTGATTGTTTCTCTATTGTCTATTTGTATTTATGTTTACACAGCACCATCTACCTCATTATAGGAATTAAGATTTCCAATACAAAAACTTTACATGTATCCTTGACACTATGGGTCATCAAGGATCTTATCAAGGTACAGTTCAGCCAGAATTAAGGGATTGAAATAGTATCTATGAGTTTAGTTAGTTTTTTAGAAATAAAATAATTAGTTTAATTGGCTCACTAGAAATTGACAGTTGAGAGTAGACAAATACAAAACAGTTACAACTACAAATTCAGAACTTGCATGCTTCTTTAGAAAATATAGAAAAAAAAACTTAAGTGATGGAAAATTATATTATATTTTAATGAAGTCATTTTTAAATCTTGACGACTCTGTATAGAATAAAATAGGGAGAAAAAGGAAGCCCTTTAATGTACAGTCAATGACAATACACATTTTCCCCATTTGATTTGAATTTAAAGGTTTTGAGTGTAGAGTTTAAAGTCAACTGGATATATCTGATGTACTGTGGTAACTTGAAGTGTAGTCGTGTGTACCAGGTCGTGATCATTCCGAAGACCGGAACGAGATTATCGACGTTGATCCAGAACTAATCAAGAAGGGTGTCAGGAACTTGATGCATGAAGTTTGTCAGATCGAGAGAGAAAAGGTACGTTACTGATCAATACGATATAGAAACTCTTACAAATATTTTTGTAGTTCTCTGATTGATCTATCAGCTAATTATTAATAAAACCAAAATCAGAAACTAAAACCTGTTTTGGTGAAGATTTAATTACAGTTTAGCACGTTTTTAAATTTAAATTCTCAATTCAGAAACCGGTTGTAAGTGGGGTTTGAAAATCATGTAATCCAAGAAAGCTAGATTTTGATGAATTTCGACACAGGATGATTACAAATCACAAGTGGCGATGATGAAGAAGCAACTGAAAGAAGCGAGCGACCAACATGGCAAGGGCGAAGGGAAACTGCAGTCTGTGACGAGTAACCTGCGCAGCATGCAGGAGGAGAAGGCGCGGCTGCAGGCCGCGTGCGGGCAGAAGGAGGCGCAGCTTAATGCATTGGTCAGTTTTGAGTTTATCTTATTAACTATATTTTAAATGAAAACATATTACTTTGTTATGTTTTGACTAGCTGACCCGGCAAAGTTCGTACCGTCATATACTTGTTTTTTATAAATTTGGTGCAGTCGTTTGGAAGTTATGCGCGATATATATTGGCGATTCATTTTTATATATGTAAAGATTTTAATAACTTTACTGTAAGTTTTCTTAATAAAAAAATACTTTAAAAACTGTCGGAGAACTCGCTCAGATTGGGACAGGTTCAAGTCCCAACTCTAGTACATGGAGCTGGTATTTTTTTTTTGCATTTTTAATTATAAATATTTGTCAGTATAGCAGTGTGAACGCAAAATTGATAAAAAATAATAATTTACTACAAACACTATGGTCGTTATCACATTTCATCTACCTCTATTTTCAAATAAAAAATTACTTAATACTAATTACTTTTGACCGCATCCTTAAAATTTGGTAAAAACACGATTGATTGATTAGGCCATGTAAAATTATAGATTTTGCTATTTTGCTCATCCATCATTTTGAGTAAAATTAAAAAAAAAATGGCGAGGGCATAATTTAAGTCAGTAAAAATGTACTAAAAATACACATTTAAAACTATGATTAGACAAGAATACAAAAACACATATGACGTCATAACCTATGAAATTTTACGCGTGCCACGGGAATGATAATTTTAATAAATTATTTTTAAATCAAAAATTAAACTTCTCTTTTTTATTCTTACTATCATAAAATTATATTTTAATTTACCTCTTATCTTTTAATAGTTGTTTCATTAGTAAGAGGTATAAATTGATACCTGTTAAAAAAAAACATTTTTTATTTTGTCTTAACCCAACTGTCGCAAAAAACCTGCAGTTGTGTTAGAATGCAGCTAGTATGAGACAGCCATATATTTATATATGGCAAATAAAATATGCATATACAATATTATGTAGGTATATTAAACAATATTGGGCAGTACAGGATTCAACCTTCTGTCTGTTGCGGGTCGCTGGCCTTGTTAGCGCCTTAACACTTATCGATTTAAATTGTATACAGAACGAGGCCGTGCAGACGAAAACTGTTGAGATTAGCAACTTAAGAGACAAGATCACAAGTCTGGAGGCGACACTCAGCTCCGTCACCGAGGAGAAGGTTCAGAATGAGGTTCGATAGTTTTTCCTATTTTTCTAACAGCTCTTTAAACGCAGTGGTTAGAGTTCAATCTCGAATAGCAAAGACTATATTACCTTTTTAAAGGCCAATCACAAGGAAACCAAAAAATTATATTCTTAAGTAAATTCGTACTTTGGGAGGTAACTTTAATAGTTTGTCCCGGCTACGTCAACAGTGGTTATCATCATCACCAGCCTATTATGAGGCCTTCCTTGTGGATGAAATCGAATCGAATACAGAGAATAGTATTGTAATCTCGAATAAAAGATGGTGTCACTTATCTAATATAGATTTTATTCGGACCACAACCCAGTATTTATTTTATCTTTAATAGTATCCTATTATTATAAAATCACTAACAATTTTATAGGCAGCTGCAGGAAGCAAGCCGACATTATCCAAAAGACCATAATAATAATAATAATAATGTCTTTATTTGCAATAAATAGGGTTATATATACAGTTGTGATATTTCAGTTTAAGAGCTTTGACCTATTTAGCCATCTTGAACAGCATGCAAAAAATAATAATAATAATACCTAATAATAATAATAAAATTGATGAAACATAAAATATTTCATAATTACATAAAATTGTGTCAAATTTAACAATAATAGTATTTAATCAAAATATTACAATTGTGTCAAAACGTTATTTATCATGTCAATTTTATCAAATTGTACAAAAAAATAAAATAAAATAATTAAAAAATGTATAAGATGTCAAATGGAAATATTAGAAATAATAGAGACTAATCCATAAAGAAAACATCATACATTTTTCGTGTTTATGACATTGGCATGTGTTTGGATATTGCACTCAAATAGACCTTTCCAACAGTGGTGGTGGTTGTCTCTAGGCATCATCGGCAAGTTTAGTAGCTCATAGAAGAGGCGTGAAGATACTGAATATGATGAATTTTGCGTCTTTGTATAGGTATATTTTTATGTGTTTTTTTTTTTTGCAATAGCCACTGCACTCTCTCTAGTCGGTCCCTCATTACTTAGGATCGTGGTCAGTAGAACTCATCAAGCGACCAATCCTTTTCCATCGATTCCGATCAGAAATGTCCCTCAACACGTCGTAGAATGATAGTGTAGCCCCTTTCACTTGGTCAGACCATCGTATTGGTGATCGACCTCGTGATATTTTTCCTTTGGTATTTCCAACAATGGTCAAGGTTTTTGATTTTGATTTTTGATTTTGAAATAAGAAAGTATGCGTTGCAGACGCAAGCTCGACAGTCGGGATTTAATGTCGAGTTGGGAGAGAATGGATACATTTGTGCGTTTGGCTGTCCACGGTATTCGGGGCACTGCAGTCTTATTACATATAAAAAAAGATTTGTAAGGTTTTCATTGTCTTATTTCTGAATTATCTAATATAGGTTTCAACACATAGGGTCAACTTTTCCATTTCAGAATAAAGCAGAGAGTCTTCGCGTTCAATTAGCGGAACGAGTCCAAGAAGTCGCTCAACTCCGCGAAGCACTGGCGGTAGCAGAAGGTACTATATCAAATGAAATGCACAAGGTAGTATGAATAGAATAAATTATAAATTTCTAATAAATCCTTTTCTATATACAACCACAATTTCACTATATTAGTAAGTAAGTATCAAACATGGAGTCTTGAAGGCTCTGAGTCTTATCATGTTACTAGGTGTAACCCGCGACTTCCTCGCTTAAATTATAGCCAATGTCAACCCCGTATGATGTAGCAACGTGAAGGTGATTTTTTTTTTATATCTGTCCAGTAGTTTCGAAAGCTATTCGATGCAAACAAACAAACAATTAAATCTTTTCTCTTTCGATCAATCAATCAAAACATTTATTTGCTCAAATATTGTGTCAGTACAGTTGTTGCATAGGTTTCATGCTCAACAATATTTTTGCCTTATATAGTAGGCGTGCAAATATTCTATTTCTAATGTCACACTAATTATAAAAAGAAAAAAATCATATAATTTAATTTTGATTACAATTACTGATTACTTTATAATATTAGTATAGATATAATTCGCTAATATTACATCAGTCAACGATCGTTATATTAACAAGAAATAATATGTCGTATGAAACTCAGACAAATATAGTCTTTAAGTGCAGTGAATAAGGTTGACAACGTTATAAGGTCGAGGGGCGCGTCTGGACGTTCGCCGCGCTCAGCTGGAGGGAGACATACAGCGCGCCGCCGTCGCCGCCCGGGACAGGGAACAGGCGATCAAGGTAAACTATACCTTAGCAGCGTGTTAATAAAGATTGTTTTTAATTGATAAGAAAAGATTTGATACTTATAAAAGTTAAACACTTGAAAATTTCTCAGATGCTGTACTTCTGTTGCCGCTTTAACAACAAATACTTAAAACTAGAATAAAATAAATACAACAAATGTAAGGGGGCTCCTATACAACAAATGTGATTTCTTTTGCTTGTTTTTGCTCGATATTACTAACGACAACAGTTAGACGCAAATAAATAATTTAATTGAACTTCTCAATTATTCGCTTTTAGAAACTTCAAGAACGTTGCGAAGGTTATACGCGCACCATTACGTCACTGGAAGAGAGATGTACTTCTCTCAAAGGGACCGTGGAACAACTGTCCACGTCCCTACAGAAGGCAGCGGCCGCTGAGAGCGAGCTGAGGGCGGAGCTCAGCAAGGTTCAGCGGCAACTGAACGAGGCCAAGAACAACGAGCACGGCGCCATCGATAAACTGAGGCAGTTGCAGAAGAATGTCTGTGAGTATTGATGTATGGAATTGTTCTAAATGTATTTTCAGAAGTCTTTATTTAAAACAACACAAAGGGAAGAGTTATAAACGTCGATCAGACATAGTCAAATGACTAAATGTCAATGTTCCATTGAAATTTGATTAATATACTTCCAACAAATTAAATCTTAATAGGGATGACATTTGGTAAAAAAAAATTGTTTAGTCTGTAAATCTGACAATATAGTATTTCTTTAAAGTTGAGGAGTGAGGGCTCACTACGTTACAGCTTTGTAGAAAATGTACAGGATTGTGACGTCATGTGACATTTTAATTCAATTTATTGATGACTAAAAAATAAAAAAAAAACGTGTTTAATATTCTACTTGAAGCACGGAAAAAAAAATGAAATGAAATGAATGAAATGAATGAAATGAATGAAATGAATGAAATGAATGAAATGAATGAAATGAATGAAATGAATGAAATGAATGAAATGAATGAAATGAATGAAATGAATGAAATGAATGAAATGAATGAAATGAATGAAATGAATGAAATGAATGAAATGAATGAAATGAATGAAATGAATGAAATGAATGAAATGAATGAAATGAATGAAATGAATGAAATGAATGAAATGAATGAAATGAATGAAATGAATGAAATGAATGAAATGAATGAAATGAATGAAATGAATGAAATGAATGAAATGAATGAAATGAATGAAATGAATGAAATGAATGAAATGAATGAAATGAATGAAATGAATGAAATGAATGAAATGAATGAAATGAATGAAATGAATGAAATGAATGAAATGAATGAAATGAATGAAATGAATGAAATGAATGAAATGAATGAAATGAATGAAATGAATGAAATGAATGAAATGAATGAAATGAATGAAATGAATGAAATGAATGAAATGAATGAAATGAATGAAATGAATGAAATGAATGAAATGAATGAAATGAATGAAATGAATGAAATGAATGAAATGAATGAAATGAATGAAATGAATGAAATGAATGAAATGAATGAAATGAATGAAATGAATGAAATGAATGAAATGAATGAAATGAATGAAATGAATGAAATGAATGAAATGAATGAAATGAATGAAATGAATGAAATGAATGAAATGAATGAAATGAATGAAATGAATGAAATGAATGAAATGAATGAAATGAATGAAATGAATGAAATGAATGAAATGAATGAAATGAATGAAATGAATGAAATGAATGAAATGAATGAAATGAATGAAATGAATGAAATGAATGAAATGAATGAAATGAATGAAATGAATGAAATGAATGAAATGAATGAAATGAATGAAATGAATGAAATGAATGAAATGAATGAAATGAATGAAATGAATGAAATGAATGAAATGAATGAAATGAATGAAATGAATGAAATGAATGAAATGAATGAAATGAATGAAATGAATGAAATGAATGAAATGAATGAAATGAATGAAATGAATGAAATGAATGAAATGAATGAAATGAATGAAATGAATGAAATGAATGAAATGAATGAAATGAATGAAATGAATGAAATGAATGAAATGAATGAAATGAATGAAATGAATGAAATGAATGAAATGAATGAAATGAATGAAATGAATGAAATGAATGAAATGAATGAAATGAATGAAATGAATGACTGCAATGACTGAAATGAATGAAATGAATGACTGCAATGACTGAAATGAATGACTGCAATGACTGAAATGAATGAAATGAATGACTGCAATGACTGCAATGACTGCAATGACTGCAATGACTGCAATGACTGCAATGACTGCAATGACTGCAATGACTGCAATGACTGCAATGACTGCAATGCCTGCAATGACTGCAATGACTGCAATGACTGCAATGACTGCAATGACTGCAATGACTGCAATGACTGCAATGACTGCAATGACTGCAATGACTGCAATGACTGCAATGACTGCAATGACTGCAATGACTGCAATGACTGCAATGACTGCAATGACTGCAATGACTGCAATGACTGAATGGACTGAATGGACTGAATGGACTGAATGGACTGAATGGACTGAATGGACTGAATGGACTGAATGGACTGAATGGACTGAATGGACTGAATGGACTGAATGGACTGAATGGACTGAATGGACTGAATGGACTGAATGGACTGAATGGACTGAATGGACTGAATGGACTGAATGGACTGAATGGACTGAATGGACTGAATGGACTGAATGGACTGAATGGACTGAATGGACTGAATGGACTGAATGGACTGAATGGACAGAATGGACTGAATGGACTGAATGGACTGAATGGACTGAATGGACTGAATGGACTGAATGGACTGAATGGACTGAAAGGACTGAAATGGGTCGAAATGGGCGAAATGGGTGAAATGGATGAAATGAAATGAAAATATCTTTATTCAAGTAGGCTATTACAAGCACTTTTGAATCGTCCAAAAAACTCTTTTCCCCTACCACTTGTTCAGGACGTCTTTTAGCTGACAAGAAGAACAAGCGAAAGAAACTTACCAGCTTTTTATCATAAGTAATGACATTTACATAAATCATGTCATTACCAAAATAATATGTATTATCAATTTATCACAATAGTTTACATGAATTTGAAATTTATTTTGTGGAACTTTATTGAACATAGCAATACATTTACCCAGAAATGATCCTCTGGTTTTTTGAAGTCTGAAGCTTGGAACGGCAAGTTTATTTTTATTTCTTGTGTTAAGATTATGAACACTACTTTTTTTTGTAAAGGAATCGTAATGTTTTCTTGTGTACATAATATTCTCATAGATGTATTGAGAGGCAACAGTCAGAATATTTATTTCTTTAAAAATTTATCTGAGAGATTCCCTAGACCGTAAATTATATATAGCACGGACAGCTCTCTTTTGTAAAATAAAAATATCCTGAATGCTAGCCGCAGAACCCCATAACAATATACCATACGTCATTACACTATGAAAATAACTAAAATATACCAATCTTGCCATTTCAACATTTGTCAAGAGTCTAATTTTCTTAACAGCAAAAGCTGCAGAACTCAGTCTACTTGACAAGCTATCAATATGAGGATCCCATTGCAGTCGGGAATCTAGTGTAATACCAAGGAACTTTGTCGATTCTACTAACTTAACTTTTTCACTATTTACATTTATAAGTGTACTGACATGCCTCACATTAGGTAATGCAAACTTTATGCATTTCGTTTTATTTGAACTGAGCTTTAAATTATTATTATCAAACCACTGTAGAACATTGTCGAGAGCATCATTTACATCGTCAAAACAATCATTACCCCTCTCAACTTTAAACAGTAAAGAGGTGTCATCTGCAAATAATACAGTCTCGCACAAATTCTTCGTAAAGTGAGGTATGGTCATCATCCTTATTGATATCCGCAATTGTGACGTAATACTTCAGCGAACTGTGAGAATGAGCGGCGCGTACTGTCCGAGAAGTTGGAGAGCGCTAAGTCGGCGTTGAATGAACTGAAGAGGATCAACTCCTCGCTGGAAGACCAGGTGCACCGGCTAACCAACCAGCTGTCCAACGTTGAGGTGCAGAGGTGAGCTTCAAGTTTGATACTTAAAGATTACCTCGCACGTCTGGCTGTTTATTCATCTGTTAGCGTTTATTTGCTTTAAACAAAAAAAAAATCGATTTTTTAAAGTTAATTGCACACTAGCTGTTTCCCGCGTAAATGAAAGCCGTTGTCAGTCACCTATGATGCTTTCCATAGGTGAAAGAACTTTTAAACCAGTAATTAATCCAATTTAAAAATTCAAAATTCCGGTGCCTATTCGGTATAAACATAGAAGCAATAGAATACTCTTTATAATCCCACTAATATTATAAAGGTGAAAGTTTGTTGGTTTGGATGTTTGTTACTTCTTCACGCAAAAATTATTGAACAGATTTTGATGACATTTGGTATACTTGGATTATCATATAGACTATTGTTTATCCCACTAAAAGGTTCCCTGGGGATAGAAGTACTTCTAAGGGCACCTATTTTTGTGAACTCTGCCAAAACGGTAAGAGATATATGAATGCTTTCTAAAGAAAAGTTAGAGAGCTTTATAACTAAGTGCATTTTTTTAAAAAATAAAAAAAACGTAAATGTCTATTAAATTTTTTTTTGTCTGTTTTTAGACGTCTATTTGTATAGGTGATATTGGATCCTTTTTAAAAAATATATACGTATCATCAAAGAAACAGATAAGAGAGGATGTCATCACCATCATCATCATCATCAGCCCTTTTACGTCCCTACTGCAGGGGCTCAGGCCTTCCTTATGGATGGTTAATGAGGATGGGTCATGACCCTCCACGCTGGCCCAATGAGGATTGGAGGGTATTAACGACTGCAAATGCAACCGGGACCAACGGCTTAACGTGCCTTCCGAAGCACGGAGTAGCTCGAGATAATATTTTTTTGGTCACCGATCCCGTGACCGACCCTTGCGAAAGTTGCTTAACGACAACGATCGCGCCCGCGGCGCTTTACCACTACGCTACCGTAGCGTAGCATATTTTCTCCGTAGTAGCTACGGAGAAAATATGGACACTTAATCTAATGATACATAAAATTATTATTGTGATATCAAGAATTATTTAGACACGCAATGAAAGTTACAATAATCGCTAAGTAAAATGTAACTCAGAAACTCTGAAGAATACTGATACTGCTGTACAGTATATTCTGGCCCAAACAAATAATAGAAATAAACATGAGCTGAGTCCATAGGCTTTGGTATTCCATAAAAATTACATTGTCGCACTTGCGCATAGAGAGTTTCGTACTGGAAACGAGCAAAAAAATTATGTTTGTTGTAAGGGAATTCTTTGCTAAATCATACTAAGTATTACAATTCCATCGATAAAGTACTAAATAAATTACTCGATAGATTCGAAGTACTCGATAAATTATTATTTTTATTATTAAAGATGCAGTATACATTTTTATTATAGTTTCTATGTGACAACCGTCATATTAAGTTTATTTAGGTAATGTTGTCCTCCCAATTTTTTAAAACAAAACTACTAATTTCATTTCTTCAAAGGGAAATATAATGGGATTCTTTCGGGAATATACTCTTTCAAACAAAACAAATTTCAAAGAAAACAGTCAAGTTGGAAACGTATTCTTATTTTTTTGGTATTAATACAAAAGAAGTTGCGGGTAAAAGCTAGTACAAATAATATTTATAGCATTATGTAGTCTTATTATTAGTTTGATATTAAAGGGACGGAAGTTTATCAATTTATTAAAGCAAACCCTAATGTATTTAATTTAGGATTGAGAGAAGCTGGTCCTATATTATTAATGTAGGAGGGGGGGCCGGTCTTACTCTGATGTAGCAACTGATTAGGGAGACTAAAGGTAAATTGTCTTTCTCTATTTGGAGCTCGGAGACCACGATCCTACCGATGAAGATCGGAAGTCGTATATATCACTAGCTTTCCGCCAACGGCTACGCCCGCGTGATACCTAGGGGACTGTTTATTTGGATATCGATTCATAACATGACACGGATATAATTTTAATAACAAATTAAATAGTATAGCGGTTACTATGGTATCGATGTTACACTCCCACGTTCGTCCTTTTATTTGCTGTTTTTAGGGATAAATATAACTTATATCCACCACATATGATGCAGCTTCCCGGAGGTGAAAGAATTTTCAAAATCGGTCCAGCAGTTTCGGAGCCATTTCGTTGCAAACAAATGAACAATCAAATTCTTTTTTATAATATTAGTATATTAACGATGTTCGGTATCGCTGTGTCATCTCGCGACGTTAGCTCGGTGAGATAGATGTCTCCACGTCGCACTCCCTTCAGCTAACATCACAGTCGATCTGGCACAGATCCGGTCTGGAGTCGCAGCTCCGTATGACGACGTGGGACGGCAAGGAGAGCGTGGACAGCGAGCTGGAGCGGGAGCTGCACAACCTGCAGCGGGAGCGCTCGGAGCTGCGCGCGCGCTGCGACGCGCTGCAGGACACCGTGCGCAAGATGGAGGCCGAGCGGCGCGCCACCGCCCGGCCCCAGGCGCTGCGCAGCAAGAGCCACGACCGGCAGGACAAGCCGCTCTACTACTCCGACCTGGACTCAGGTACACGCATATAGTGACAGCTCACGCAACACGTAGGGCTGGACTGTTTTAAGCTTTCATGGTCTACTATCGTTAAAGCTAATTTATCGCGGTTTAATATATATTATTGCTACCATGTACCTTGTTTTTGTGGACTTATAGTTTATTGACAAGGCTGACGTATACGTGTTAAGTAGAAAATTAATCTTTTTGAAATAATACTTATAAATGTTGATTTTTAATTTATAAAGCTATAAAAATTTTGGAAGAATAAACACGTTTTCTTATCTTAAAATTAAATCGAAATTTATACTTTTTTTATACTTCCGAAAATGCCGACCGCCATATTCATGGCGTCATTCCGATATGTATACAAAAAAGATGTCAATAAAAGAGTGCCATCTAACGATCGACTACGAAAGAAAAAGTTGTAAATAAGATAAAAAATGACATTTAGGTTTTTGATCTATAATAAATAGGCATTTTTTTAGGACTAATCTGAGAGCTGTCGTCAGAGTGACGTCACAGATGGCGGGTCTTGTTTCAAGTCTGACACATACACAACCTCGAATTTTTATTCATTAAGATGTTATCAACATGTCATGATAAAATATAACTGTCGTATTTATAGGTGCCGATTCAACGAAGGACTCTATGCGTCCTTATAAGGACGTGTGCATACCCACCAAAGATAAGGGCTCTGTGGACTTGACGCTTCTAGAACTAGAGAACAGGGAACTCAAAGTGAAGATTAGGAGGCTGGAGAAAGAACTAGCAGAAAAAGTATGGGCAATATTTTATACAAATGACCTATGAAATTTTAAAATATTTCTCTATTTCTTAAGCTAGTACCTGATTTCATCAATTAGAAAAACGTTTACAAATTATTAGTGAACCAGATGTGTTATACACACGTTTTCTATTAGGATGTAATTAATGTATCGTTTACTAGATTCACTACAAAATCTAATTTTAATTAGAAGTTTTAGAAGTGTCACCTAAAAATTCTCGTAGACAAGCATGCTAGATAATATTTAAACTATGTACAATGCCCGGCACGAAAGTAAACCCTGAGCATAAAACGAAAATAGGTATTCAAGGAGGTGAAGTGTGCGGGGGAGAAGCATAGCAACTGGGCCTAGTGTCATCCCACGCTTGACTTTTCCCTACAAATTCACTTCCCGCCATTTGTAAATGCACTTTTTCATTGATGAGTACACTCGAGAAATAAAGTGATTTATTACCATGTTTTGCTTAGTCGTTGTTGGAATTTTTTTTGACTTTGGATGTTTAAACACACTCAAGTGTAATATTTCATTAAATAAAATCAACAATAATATTCTTAACTTAATACGATTCTTTCATTCTTATTAATATTAAAATTGTAGTGATTTGTAATTCATGTAATTGTTGTTAATCGGAAAATGGCGTTCTTAATGGGTAGTATTGTGATGGGTTCGGTGCTTAGGTGTTGGTAGATAATGAAACGACTGACTAGGCTTGATAAGTAGGTATATTTATGGTTTAAATAAAAAAAAATTATCAACAAAAAGTTATAAAGACAATTTGTATGGATTTCTAATATTATGATATTAGGTACTTCAATAAAACAATTATATACCTCTTTTCTGGGTTTCCTTTAAATTATATCACTTATTTATTTCATTGACTTGGATTACTTTATAACATTAAATTTACATTATTAATTTTTACTCTGATTATACCTGCGCAATTGGGTGTACTTTTGTGCCAGGCACTGTATTATAAATAATAAAATCGTCATATCATTATTTCTTAAGCAAAATATCTGCGTACAACCAGATAATATAATAAATAGTGTCATGGGAGTGTTTTCTATAATGTGTAGCATTATAAATGTGTTTACTTCTGATGTAGACTATTTTAAGAACACATCATTTCATCATTAGATGTCGCTGTAGTGCATAGACGTTAAGTAGACGAACATCCGTACATAAAACTACTAAACCATTAAAACATTTAAAATCAAATAAAATATTCGACTAATATTTTTACTCATAGAATTGTGATTGTCGCAAAAGCATTTAAGGTATTTTTTTTAACCAAAAGTACTAAATATTCGTTCTTTGGTTCAACTGTGAGGTGTGATTTTAAATACGGATGTTAGATTCGAGCACAAGTCGTTTGCTGACTATTTTTAGGATGGTTTTGTCAACGAGACGAGACTTTGGGCATAATGTTTCGTTCTTGATGTCGTTCAAGAGAAGTACTATAGTTCGAATTTTAATTACACGCAGTAAAATGACATTTTCTAATTTTATTTTGTGAAATAACATTGCCACATTTTTTCTACTAGTGATGTGGTAAAAAAATTATTATATTATTTTGTATCGATGTTATAGGTTTGGATTTAATATGAAAATGTTCCAGTATATGAAATTAGGTTGTGTTTGTTTATTTTTAGTTTTAAAAGTATTAGGCAGTTTATCCAGTTATTTATTATTTGATTATTAAATACTCGTTTATTTATTAACAAGCAAAAACTCAAATTTATAGAAAAATAAATCCGATCTTTTGTTGGGCACATGAAATCTACTGGCGAATTTTTTAAAGTATTCTTCTATAAATATAACAAATTATTATATAAATAATTATTAAATATAATAATAAAATTAATTAGTTTAGTTATTCTTAATTCGTAAAGTAATTAACTGAATGCAATTTTATGAAATGATTAATTAGTACGTCACTATTAATATTTCGAAAAAATCTAACATACGAAATCTCATTTTACTGAATTTAATTAAAAGTCGAACTATAGCTGTCAATTGCTGTACTAGAACCATTTACACGGTATATTGCCCTCGCATATTTGGTCGCACCTGTTCGTAGGCTCGAAGGACCATAAAGATGCTTTAGGTCCCCTTATATGATTGTTATTAATTTGAGAGTTAGCGAAACTATCCCGGAAAACAATATGTGATTTAGTACCACCAATTTCATTTATCGAAATGGGCACAGACTGCCGTTAGCATTCAGCGACTTGTGCACGAAGTTATGGCTATATTAGGTAGATAAATGTATGCGATGTGGACGAAGGGGTCAGGGCGCGGGTACAGGGAGTGCTGCGGCCCGTGTAAGGGGCTCGGGGCCGCCGGCGTGTCGCTGCTGGAGCTCGAGAACAGGGAGCTGCGCGTCAAGATCAGGAGGTTGGAGAAGGAGCTCGCTGATAAGGTACTAATCGTGCGAACCGTAAATAGATGCGACGGATCCGGTCGCTCGAGGAATGATAGAGATGTAAGAAAGAAAGAAAAGGAATGAAAATGTAAAAGTGATAGAACTGGAATAGGAGCTCGGCCACAAATGCAAGGCGGGGTATTAAAAAACCGTACGAACCAACATGACAATCGTAGGCGTATACTATCTTTCCGCTATACTAAATTCAATTTCAATGTCATTTATTCAATTTAGGCTGTTACAAGCACTTGTGAATGTTGAAAACTAGGTCATCGGTTTGCAAATCTACGGCAAAAGACCTGTTAC